CGAGCGCCGTGGATGCTTTTGCTTTCCTGAACCTCTCAGTCGACCCGCTGGCCTCTGATTCGACGCTTTCTTGCGCTAGGTCGACCCGCCCCAACCCTCCCCCCTCTCCGCGCCCTGTGTTGCCGCCCTCCTTCCCAGCATCAAAACCGCCTACTGGTCAGTTCTGCTTCCTGTACACTCTTTCCTTAGCAGCAGCTTCACTCGTTCACGTGGTTCGTCTTTCCCTCCCTCCCCTTCCCTCCTCCCCTCCCCTCCCCTCACGCTGCAGAGCCCCAACTATCTGGACCTGGTGTCCCGACCCATGGACCTGTCGACGGTGCTTACCAACCTCCGCAGAGGTGCCTACGCCTCCTGCACTGCCGTCGCCACCGACGTAGCGCTCATCGCTGCGAATTGCCGTCGCTACCATCCACCTGGCTCGCCCATCCTGCGCCGCGCCGACCAACTGATCACCGCCTTCGCCGCTGCCTGGCGTTCCAACGGCCTGCCGTTACCGCCGGGGGCTGGCTTCCCGTCGGACGCGCAGCTCCGGGAGTATGAGGACGGCGGTGCTGGGGCGGACGACGTGGCGGCAGTGGCTGCGCCGCTGCCGTCGCGGCGGCCTCCGCGCCAGGGCGCAGGCCAGAATCCTCGGCTCGGCAGCGACGAGGGTGAGGAGGAGCCCTTGGTGGGGAGGGCCGCTCCGCGGCCAGGCGGCCGCAGGCCGCCAGCGGCGGCGGCAGCCGCTGGCGCACCGTCGTCGTTGCCGTCCGGCTCCGTGCCGCCAGCCGAGACCTGGGAACCACTGGCGCTAGGCATACTGCGGACGCTGCTGCGTGACCCACGTGCCGCTGCGTTTTCGGAGCCGGTGAATGTGGACGAGCTGCCGGGCTATACCAAAGTACGGAGGGGGCCCTCGCTTTGTTGCCGGGGGGGTTTCGGGGACCCTAATTTGGGCTCTTGAGGCTCTACGATCACTTTTCTTCCCAGGTCAATGCGCCAGGTCCTCTGCCTCTACCCAGCCACCCGGGGGTGGGTGGAGGGGCTTATGCTGCGCCCTGACTCCAAAAGCCCTGGTTCCCCCACATCCATATGCACGTTCTCAACTTTTTCGCCACACCGGCTGCAGATTGTGTCTCGCCCGATTGATCTGGGCACCATCGCCCGGGACTTGGAGGCCGGTCGCTACACGGGCCCCGGTCCCACGGTGCTGCTCGATGACGTGCGACTGGTCTGGTCCAACTGCCGCCGCTACAACCAACCCGGCTCGTCCATTGTCGCGGACGCGGAGCACTGCCGGTCCGCCTTCAACCGCACGTGGCAGAGGCTGGCCGTACCCGCCGGTCTCCCAGCTGCCACCGCCGGGGCCGCCAAGCTGGTCGCGCAGCAGGCCGCCGCCACTGCCGCTACCTCCTCCCACCATGAGCCGCACGAGTGGCCCGGTTCAGGGCCGTCTCGCCGCAGCGGCGGCGGCGGAGCTGCTGCCGCCCGCGGCGGCGGTGGTGGCGGTCCGTGGCAGGCCAGTGCGGAGGTGGCCCTGAAGCGGCTGATGAGCAACCGAGTGGCGGCGCTGTTTCTGAAGCCGGTGGATCCGGCGGAGGCGCCCGGGTACCTGGATGTGGTTACGCGACCGATGGACTTGTCTTCGGTGACGGCCAGGCTGCGGCAAGGGGCATATGCGGTAAGGGGCATCGGTGGGTGTGGCGCGGAAGGTGGCGATCCTCAAGGGGAGGAGGGGGGAAGGGGAGCTGGGCTCGGTGTTGTAGACGGACCTTGCAGCTTGACAACCTATACATGTACGTACATAGCCATGCTTCCATGCTTTCCGAAGCAGAGATAGTTTTTGGAGGCTGCGGGCAGTAAAGCACTCCGAAGTGTTTGAATACAATTGAGATAGGGGTCTCTGCAGTGCTTCTTCATTGCCTTGCTCGTTGGGCAAGGTGTAATTGTGGAGTCAACAAAAGTAGCGGGAATACTTGCGGTCTTCACAGCTGGACGCGTAGTAGTACGATGTGAAATTCGTCCTGGGGGCTTCGTCCTCCCTCGCCCTCCGTTGACAGGATTTTGGTGAGCTATTGGCTGATGTGGAGCAGATCTGGGAGAACTGCCGTACATACAACAACAAGAGCTCACGCGTGTACAAGCTGGGCGAGCAGGCCGCTGCGCAGTGGCTGTCAGAGTTGGAGGCGGTTGGCCTTGCTGGTGGGGGCGGCGGCGGAGCCGGCGGCGAGGGCAGGCAGCAGCGCGCGCGGCGGCGGCGAAAGACCACGGCGGCGGTGGCAGCGACGTACGACTCGGCATCGGACGGCGGCGACAGCGCCGGGGGCGAGGGGTTTGACTCGGATGAGGACGACGAGCGTGGCGGTGGGGGCGGTGGCGGCCGGCGCGCTGGCGGGGGTGGCCGGGGGGCGGCAGCGGGGTATCGACCAGGCAAGCGCGGCAGGCCGGGGGATCCCGCATATGAGTGATCGTTCGGAATCATTCGAAGAGTAGGGTCCAAATGAAACACCTTATCGATCCATATAGATAGGGCAGACGTGAAGCGGTGTTGGACACGGCTGTTGCTGTCGTTGCCGTCACTGAAGAGATCAGGACCGTTGAAGACCCCTCAGGTTGATGGGTTGCCGCCGGTTGCAGTTCTACATGATTTTATGACAGGGAGCACCTTAAGGTTTTTATCTTCCCCCAGTGCGGACTCCTACCTTCGTCCTGAAGCATCGCTGACACTGCCCGGACGGGGGGGTGGCCTTAATTACAACGGATTTCACCTGGAGTACTCGGCCTTATCTAAGGCAGAGGGGCTAGGAACCTTACGTAGACCGATAGCTCCAGTGCATGTGGCCCTCCGTCTTGCCACGGGGCTCCGCAACGTTTCGAATTGAGCATACCCGTGGTAAAGGCATGAACGTATTTGGTCATTTGTTCGACTTGGGCGGTGCCTTGCTTTTGTTGGCGGGGTGCATGGTACCGTGTTGGGACGACGTCATCATAGGGTGTGTCGACATGGCGGTCTTGGCACTTTTTCAAATAGAGGGGTTACGATTAGAACACCGGGTAGCGGGGGGAGTAAAGGGTTTACCGCGCAAGGATGTGGAACACGGAACCGTGCACTGGTGTCACGGCGGAATGTAGACTTGAAGGATTGCGCGTCCGGGTGGTTATCTTGTGTGTATAGCTTTGGAAGATGTGCAGCCAACATACCTGTGTCTGGCGGCCGTGCATTCATCGCCGCTTCGATCGCATAGGACCCGTCGATATGAGAAACTTTGTTTTGATTCGTATACCTCTGGGCCCGCACGGTCGCGGTCCCGGTTCACGACCGCCACCATGTAGATACCCGGATGTGAGAGCGCATCACCACAAGCGCCGGGGCCTCGATAAGACATGCCAGCTCGAATTCTTTGGCCCTATGCCTCTGGTCCCTCCATATAGCCTCCATATAGACCGCGCTCACGATCATCTGCACCACCACTTGCTGCAGAGCGTCCCTCGTCGGGGTCGGTCATATGGAGCCCGCCTAAGGCCCCAACCCCAATCTTAGATCAGGCCTGTCACAGTCCCACATGATTGCCGCACCCGCAATCCACAGCGCAGCCAGAGGGCAACGTCAACTGTAATGAGACCAGCCTTCCGCATGCGAAATGGAAGTTGTGGCCGTTTTGTGCTGAGAGCGCGATATCAAACGAATACACCGTATTTCATACGACTTCTTGTCGACGAGAATCACGATGAGAAGTCTCCACGCGCAGTCGGAGTGAAGCCATTCCCAGCCAAACCGAAATGCGAGCCTAAGAAAAAGAAAAAGCTTGCCAACCAGTTGCTGCTCATCATCCACCAGCAAATACACGGGCGATGTAGTGCAGTCCAGACTGCAGCATCTGGCACCCGGTGACTCGAGCAATCTTCCCGCCAGAAACCCATTTCGGGCAACACACAACGGCAAATATGTCCACCAGCGGAACCCCGCCTGCGCGCCTCCGCCCATCATCGGTAAAGCACCGCAACGCACGTGTCTGTGTACAAAGTAAAGCACACCCTCGCAGCGCTCACTTCCCCCGTCGGCTTTGTCTTTGCGCTAAACACCTGCCCTGGAAGCATCGCACCATAAGCCGCAGTGCACCCAGAGTCATAACCAGGACCAAGAGAAACTGTGAACCAAACGTTCCAAGCCTCAACCTTTCTGTCCGTGGGGCGAGGCAAGACAAATAGCTGTCCCAATGACCCCCTGGACAAAAGGGCCCGTACCTGGTAGGCATCTCCAATCTTGCATGAACCACACCACCTACACTAAGTGTGCTTTTGTCCTTGCGACCGCACCTAGTGGACCTCACGCAACCGCCCGGACGCACGAACGAAGGGAGTGGGACTTCAAAGGGCCGGCAGCCAGTAAGCTACAGCCCACGTGCCGATGAGCAAAAGCTGATGGTCTAAATCGTCAAGCCACCGCACGGATGCTCTGCTTCAAACGCTTCAATATGAAGAAGAAATCACGAGCAAAGTCTTCATGTACACACCCAATAACCCGTTTGACATATTGCGAGGAAAGAGGAAACGCGTCCCTGCCGCTACGTGTTATTCGAATGTACGACCAATTAGCTCCGATCAGTTCCCCGGTCTACCACCGCTCATCTAACGACCAGCCTTGAGCTAGCAGGGTCCCGAACGCACTGAGTAGGTGGTGTCGGAGACCGCGCCGCTCCCGGCGAACCGAGCCCCGAACGTGCGCCGCTGCTCAGGCTGACTCGTGGGGGGCTTCCTGGCCACATGCTTACAACTCTGTGACCGATGAGTTGTTGTTCATGGGGGACTTTGGGCAATATGACTGGCAAGCTTGGGGCCGGGCGTCCATTCCACCAGCCAGCCACAAACTTCCGCCGTCAGCTCCCACTAAAACTGAAATACTGGCCCTTTGAAAAATAAATCCAAAGGGCCCGCAAGCCCTTACTTACTTAGCCCCACGCTCAACCCCGCTTGCGTTGCCAGGCTGCCACCCTGGAGCAGTAGCTGCATCCATGTCATCGTCAGCGACTGCGGTCCTCTGTTGACCTCTCAAGGGCAGGTTCGGCCTCAGGGCCTCAGGGGTGTGTGTATGTGTGTCTCACGGCAAGGTGCTCCCCCCGCCCCGCCCACTGAGCGCCGAAGACGACCTCCTGTTGCGGCAGCTGGGACTGGCTGTACGTGGCTTGCTGCAGCTCGCAGCCCAGCGGGGGCTGTCCTGGTGACCTTGCGCCCCGCCCTCCCCGCTCCACCACATCACATACATGCCCAGCTGAGGTCCCACCGGTGGCGGTCTGTGGGGTGCCGCTGCAGCAGCAAGGTGCCTTGTGGGCCAACTTGGAAGGGCACCACCGAGTCCTCAATCTGCGGAGCCCGAAAACCGAAAACCCACGGGGGGGAGGAGGCACCCGGTGAAGAGGCTGCATGAAGGGTTGGCACCAACCGGGTCTGGACGGGACCACCGGACGCGGCCCCCGCGCGAGCGATAGAACACAAAAGTGACCGCGACCCACTTCACCAGTCCAGTTGTTACACACCGAGAAATGCACAGACTATGTCACTACTTTTGGCGCTCACGCTGACACCGACTGGCTGTTTCCTTCCCTCTGCCCTCCTTCACGTTCCTTCCTCCCTCTCCTACGCCCCACTCTGCACCCACTCACGCGGCCAGCCGGCCAGGCGGCCACCCACCTGCACCAGCTGCATGTAGGCCTCTCCCCCTTCCGTCAGCCGCCACTCGGCACCCTGGAACCAGCGAGGCCAGCCCAGCAGCTTGTTGCCCTCAACCGTGTCGTACAGCTTGCGATCCTGCGCAATGACACGGACCGTGTCCGACCCCCCCGCAACCTCCCCCGTTAAACTCCATCGTAATGCGCCAAGGAGGAAATGTGGTCCTCTGCAGTCTGCAGGTTTTCGAGCAATGCACGATGCAATAGCGTTTTACCTAGGTACACACACGCGGGGGTATATGTGCCCCCACGTGTGTTGCGGTAGGTGCATTGCAGCCATGTGCGCGTGATGCCCCCAACGGAATGTGGCAAGGGGAAGTTCTGATATGACTGGGCCCCCTGGTACTATAGTAGCTACGGATGGCCGGTTCTGCTCTGGCTTGGGGCTTGACAGTTGCAGCGTCAACTCAAGAGGCCTTAGTGCCGTCGTACAATCAACGTGACCTACCGCCATCGTACTTGTTGCCCACTTTTGCAACCTGCCCACCTACACACCGGCGAAGGTGAAGCGTCTCCCTCCCCCGGCAACACCCTTCTACCAACACCCCAACCTGCTCACCTGCAGGACATCCAGGACGTCCATAGCTAGATCCCGGTCCAAACCCTGCGGCATGCTCTCAAACGCATCATCCACGTGCGGGAAGTCGTACGTAAAACGGTAGGACGTGATGCGCCGCTCGGCCAAGACGTCCACGTGGGGCGGGGCCACGATCTCAGACGCGTCCCGGTATACGAGCTGCCCCTCGTCCAGCACTCGAACCAGGTACCATGTCCCTGCCGTCACGAAGACGCGAGGGGTAGGTTAAGGTTATTTTTGGGTGGTGGCATTTTGGATTGCCATTGCGGAGATAGCACGAATAGAAGGCGTGATAAGCCGTCATACGTAAGCCGAGGGAGATATGTAGGTGCCGCAAACACGAGCAAGCCCCATTCCCCAGTTGTGCAGTTTGCCCTCCAATTCTTACCATCCTCCGCATATATGCTATCGGTAAGAAAGACCTGCATGAGACCCCGGCTGTACCCCAGGGCGTGCTGCACGGCGGCTGGGAGCTCGCTCACACGAAGCTGCCACAAGTGGGTCAAACTCGCGTCATCGTTGCACGGCCATGACTCTGATGGTAGGAGGTAAGGAAGTCCGCCAATTTTGCTCTCAAACAATCCCAACCCCCCTGGTGGAACGGGCTCACAGATTGGCAGGAAGGCGATGCGGCGTTTGGAAAAGAGATATTCCAAGATTGCTGTGACAGCGGGGCTAGAGCTGTCCACGCGTTCGTCCAGCATATCAGTTTCATCCAAAGCTTTCCTTGCGGCTTCAGCCCATATGTCAAACGTTTGGTAGGCGCTCGACGATGGCGATGAGCCGCTCAAGCTAGGTTCGTCGTATAAAATGAACGGGCGTCCCATAATATACGCTTGGATAATTACGAGATAATTTGCTTAAACGAGAAAACACCGTCGTTCGCTGCTCTTGTCTTCAGGGCATTATCTGAAATTAAAGTTACACAAAGTCTGACAGCTGGATGGAATTGTGTACGGACGTATGCATTTGGAGAATATGTTGTTTCTCTGGCGGTGTCTTCCGGCGCAGCGTTTCGGAGCCGCCGACAGGAAGTTTGTGCGACGCCGTGCGGATGCGACGTGCGCAAAAAACAAATGCACGGTGAAGCCTCCTATTTTTAAAGCCATTTGTATAAGCAAATAAACAACCCAACTATTTCATACCAATTTTCGGGCCCTCCTAGTTGCCTGTGTCAACATCGGGATACCGTCCATGCGCAAAGCCAAGCGCGAAAACGTCTTTCACATCTTACCCGAGCATTCTAAATAGTCTTTCACACCATGCTGTCGGTGGACGCGACTCCGCCAGCTGCAGCTGTCGCAGCTCCAATCGTACCCGCCTCCCAAATACTGCGTCTCTTACAGCAGGCGTCTCGCGAGGTCAGAGGTAAGTTCCACTCCCCCACTTTTGCTTTCGCCCCAGTTGAGACACTTGCTTTCCACGCCATGAAGAACGTGCGGCTACCACCTCCCTCCAAGCTTCCTTCGCGCCTAATCCCCCAACCCGCTCACCCACGTTCCATCCTCCAGACATGGGGCCCCCTAAAACCCCCATGCACACACATGCACAAAACATGTAGAATCCCCACCTTCCCCTGCACCTAGGGGAGCTCTTCTTCCGGGCCTCCTCTTGCCGCCCACACCATCCCCAGCATCAAGAGCATCAGCGCAGCCATGCATTAAAACACGATACTTCCCTCGGGGGCAGGAAGGAACGTACACGGGGGCCCGTACGCAATACCCCGAACATGCTAAACACACACACACACACATCGACACATACACACACATCGACACGTACACAAAAAACCTCCAGTCGCTTCCCACACCCTCCCTGGACCCCCAACTGACTGCACCATGCCGTACAGATCTGGATCTGGGTCGCTCCGTGGACCGCGTGGATCTCCTGGATCTGACTCCCCTGAGGTTCGCGACGGAATACGTCCAGAGGAACAAGCCCGTGGTCATTACGGGTGCGTGTGCGTGTGTGTGTGGGGGGGGGGGGGAGGAAGAAACCCGCCCACTGGGTCTGGAGCTGTACGGAGCTGTACAAATAAATCATTCCTGTAACCCTTTCCTAACTCTCGCTAGCTTCCCGTCTAAATGGGGCCTCCGCACACCCACACCCCTCAGGAGCTATCAGTTGCTGGCCCGCCATGACGTTGTGGGGGGAGCGCTACCTGGAGTCACATCCCGCGGGGGAGACGGTTGTGACGGTTGACGTAACGCCCAACGGCAGAGGGGATGCAATTACGACCGTTAGTAAGACGAGCTCGCTGGGGTCCCGCGCGGGGGTGTGAGTGCGGGGACACGCTCTTCCCGAACCCATAGCCTTGCACGCAGATGAGATGCTTCCAAAGACTTTTTGCTCCCTTCCCTTCTTTCAACCCCCCTGCCACTAGGCAATCGCACCAGGCCCCCATACCTTCCCAACTTCAAACCCTCTCTCTTCCGCACCTGCTGCCCCTGCTGCCCCTTGTTCCCCCCGGCCAGCTGACCCCGCCACGGGCGAGCTCCGTCGCTGGTTTGTGACCCCCCACCAGCGGCGCATGACCCTTCGGCAGTTCTTCCACTTGATGAGGGTGGGAGGGGGGTGGGAGGGGGCCTGCGGTACTCCTAGGGATTCTAGAATGTGCCTCTCAGTGATCCTAGGGTTTGTGTGGACAACACATGTACCGACCTGCAATGGTGGTGTGCTGCCGCTGCTGCTGCTGCTGCTGCTGCTGATGATGATGATGATGATGATGATGATGATGTTATTTTAGTTGTCGTTTCGTGTCTTGTTTCCTTTTCTGGATCCTTGGTGCAACGGGAGATGCTGTGACGACTGATGCTGCTCTCCTGAAACACACACACGCGCTCGCACTGACATGGGTGCCACCACACCCGCCCACCCTGGGCCCGGCCTGCGGTGGTGGTGGTGGTGGTGGTGGTGGTATTGGGCTACCGCACCGATCGCCCCGGCACACATGCACGTACGTACATACGTACATACGTACACATACCAAAGGCGAGCAGGGCTGCAGAGAGGTCAGATACCAAGTCCGGGACACCGCGAGAGGTGCCGTATATGCAGGTACGGCATGGACGTGTATGTCAGATGTGCAAAGCTGCGTGCGCCGTGTGCTAATCATTGCTAATGTGCTAATCAAACCAAGTACGGCAGCTACATCCATCTGGGGTCCCTGCAAAACTGTATCCGCGTACTTGCCTGTCATGCTATCCTGTCTCCATGTTTTGCGTTGTGGGTTTGTCCGCTGATTTATTTGTATGTAATGTACGCGTGTATGTATGTATGTATGTATGTATGTATGTATGTCGCTCAGCACCAGAACAGCAATCTGAGTGAGGAGCTGGGGCTACTGCTGGGCGACATAGGGCCCGGAATACCCTGGGCGGAGGAAGTGTTCGGGGGGCCCCCCGAGGTGAGGTTTGGGGAAATGGGGGGGGAGGGAGGGACGGGGCGACGAACCACTGACGATTAAAGCAAATACATACCAGCGATAGACGGATAGTCGAAGGGGGCTGGCGGGGTTAGGCCGCCTGGCGGCCCCGTGTCCGACACCCCCGCTGATGGGCCCCGGGCCTTCCTGGCCACATCTTGAGCGAGCCGGTGTAACCGGTGTGACTCGGGGGGGGTTGGGAAGTTACCCCTCTCTCTCTCTCACTCCCCTAAGCTCCAGTTCGCTTTGTTGGGTTTGATTGGGATTAAGGGCCGGTTGCCATTCGGTGTTGAGCCGCACAGTGGGGGGGAAGGGGGGGGAGGAGGGGGCCGGGTGATACCCCCCTGAGTCGTTCTCTTGAAGCCACGTAGTCAGCTGCCTTGGGGACCTCTGGGGGCCTGACTGGCACATTGACTGACTGACTGACGGATGGACTGGGTTGAAAGACCGACAGACTGACAGACCGACAGACTGACACACGACGTGTATTCCCTCACATACATACGGGGCTCCCTCTTGCTACGCACTCACGTCGTGGCCACCAATACGGTGTTTGTCTGTCTGTCTGTCTGTGCGTATGCCTGTACGTATGTCGGGACCTCCCGGGGACGGGCGGCCGGGCCCCTGCCCTGCAGGCGACCAACATCTGGATTGGGGACGGCCGGAGCGCCACCTCCTTCCACAAAGGTGAGAGCGGGAGGGCCCTCCCAGACCCCCACTGGGTGCGTGTATGTGTATGTGCATGGGGGCTTTCCATTCGTCGGTTCCCCCTCCTAACGCCCGTAAGTGCGTGTGTTTGTGGTAGGGTTGAGGGCCGTACTGCCTGCCGTACCCGGCACGTCCCTGGCCCCCAGACCATTACGATAACCTCTACGCTGTCATCCGGGGCACCAAGTTGTTCACGTTGCTGCCGCCATGTGACGTGTACCGAATGTACCTCACTCGTTGCCCCGCCGCCGTCTACATGCCGCGGTGCGACGTCCCACCCGGCGGCATGTACGGCGAGGTGTCGCCACAGCCCGGCGGCATGTACGGCGGCGGCGGCAGCTCGTCGCACATCCTCCGAGACGCCGCCACTGTCCCTGCCGCCAGCACCCCTGCCGTCAGCACCCCTGTCCGCTCCGCAGCCAATGACAACAGCGCCCTGGGGGGGGTTACGGCGGTGCCTGGGAGGTTGGAGGGGGGGAGGGGGGCGGTCTCGGTTTCGGAGCAGCCCGCTGCTGACCCGACCAGGCTTGTGGCTGTCCTGCAGGTAGGGCGGGGGGCGGGAGGGGTGGCGGGAGGGGAGGGAAAGCCGCCGCGGTGTGGGGTCGGGGTGGCCAGGAGGGCTTCCGCACCGGGCGATGGACGCTCGTGTCCGGGTTGCCATGGCACTCGGCAGGGTGTGGTCACCTGCCAGTTTCAGCTACATCCATAGCTACAACCCGCAACGGCCAACTTCCAACCGTATACATGCCGTACCCTCACTTCTCCTTCCGTACATAGGATCCAGGCGACGAGGTGCTGTGGAGTGCCGTGGATACCACCGTACAGGGTGCGGGAGGGGGTGAGGGGGTGAGGGGGGGGGGGGAAGGGGGGGAGGGGGGAAGGGGGGGAGGGGGGGAGGGGTCAGCGAAGTAACACTCTTCGTGGAGCTGAGTTCGTGTAGCCAAGTGCTTGTTGGTCTGACATGTCGCCCGGCTTGTTTGGGGTATGCATGTGTGTGTGTGTGTGTGTGTGCGTGTGTGTGTGTGTGCGTGTTACGCCTTGAGGTGGGTTACCCTTGAACACACATTAGACACCATGCTTGTGTGTGTGTGGGTCGTGTACGATAGACGTTCTCCTGCGTTCGGATGGAGGACGACGCATCTGCATGTTCATGGCATATGTACGACACGTGGCTATGTTTTCCAGTCACCGATTTTGATCCCGTATACTCCGGTACGTGCGCTGTACGACGCGTCTGGTTCATACGGCAGATCCTGTCACGAGGAGGACTCAGCTGCTGTTCTTCGGTCCGCTCGAGGACGGCGGCGGCGCTGCCCGGAGTCCGGCAGGCAGCAGTGGCGATAGCAGTGATAATGATAGTGACAGTGACAGCAGTCTTAGCGACCCATGGGCCACCGCAGGAGGTCCGCCCCTCATCGTAGAGGTGAGCTGCGCCACGTTGCGTTACATTACCTTCCCTCCGGCATGTGGGCGCTGTCCCCCTTCCCCCACCTTCCTCCCCCTCCTCTTCCCACCGGTGGGCAGCTTCTTGGTTCCGGGCAATTGGCGCTTCAGACGCAGGGGATTCGTCTTCACTATCTGCACTGTATGATTCCCCTCTTCCCCCCACCCTCCGCCGGCCCCCCCCTCCAGGTGGGCCCCGGTGAGGTGCTCTACCTGCCCTCCCTGTGGTACCACCAGGTGGAGCAGTACACAGACCAGGAGAGGGGGGAGCAGGGGAGGGGGAGGGGGAGCACCGCCGCTGGGGCGGGTCGTTGCCCTCCCGCCCCAGCGGACCACGAGGCGACTGCTAGCGGTGGACGTGGTCGTGGCTGTGGTGCGGCTGCTAACGGACAAGGTCAGAGGCAGGAGCACCAACAGCAACAGGAAGAGGAGGAGGAATACGTGATAGCGGTTAACTTTTGGTGAGTTGGTTGGGAGTTGGTTGGGTGCTGGTGAAAGCTCGTTCCTCGTCTGGCCGGGTGGGGGGCCCCGCACCACAACATCCAAGACTTTACCTGCGCGCCGGGGGGCCCCCCATATGGCATACATCCCCACCCCTAACCTTGCCCAGATCCGCTGGGCCACCCTGGCCGACATTTCCAAAACCGGCTTATCATGTGCTGCTGTACTGTCGTGCAGGTACGACATGAAGTACGACAGCCGTTATAGCGGATTTAAGTTGGTGGAGGGTCTTGCGATGGCGTTAGGTCTTGCAGATCAGCCGCCGGGTAGGGAGTCAGGTGATGACGTGGGCCGGTGTGAAGGTAGTTAGGTAGGTAGATATCTCCCCAGGGCTGCCGCTATGTTAGCTGAGTCACGTTTGGGCTGAGGTGCCCATGAAGCTCTGTGGTGGCGGTGGGAAGGCAGTTTGGAAGGAGACGAAAAAAGAAAGGAATGGAAGGATGCCGCCACCGTCATTTGGTTTGCTTTATTTTGGTTGCCCCGAAATTACTGTTTTGCGGTCTCCGGGTACTGGTGATCAGGATGTTAGGCTGTGGGGTAGTGGGCGCCCCTGTGTTGCTGCAGTGGCGGAAAAGCGCTCCGTTTGCTCGCGTGCGTGCGGAGGAGTGAGGAGTTACGCCCGCCAGTGAATTTCTGTCGGAGGGAAATCCGTGGGCAATATCCTGATGCCGGTATTGCTGTGCTGGTGTTGCGTGGGTGTCGCGAAGCTGTGCAGTCCGCTGCGCTGCTTGGCTGGACGAAGTGACGGGGGGCACCGTGGTTAACGTGGCCGACCCGCGGGGAAGGCGGCTCCCTTTCCCCTTCCATGCCGCGTGGAGGGGAGGGGATTCGGGTACCTCGGGGACTTAACGAATGGATCCCGCAGTGCGGGATTCATTGACGGTACTCTGCTCCGCACTCGAATGCCGTACGTGGGCAGTGACCGTCCGCAACTGCTGGGTTACTACATTGAGGAGGTCCACTCCAGGAGTAGACCTCACAGACAGGACAGGACAGCTGTCCGGCCGCCGGTCGGTGGGGCGCCGAAGAGCGATTATCACAGCCATGCTTGGGAGAAAGAGAGAGAGGTTTCCAGGGGGTGGGCAGGTTTTCCTAACCTGTCATGTGTCCACCGCTTGCAGAAGCGTCCAAGATTGGGAGCTCATAGCGACTTCTTGCATCGACATGCAGGACAAGCTTCCGAAGCACCAGCACCAGGTTCCCCGTGTGCAATTAACATTTCTGGAACGGCAAACACCCGGGAACTAGCGCCGGCAGTACGGCATGGTGGAAAGTTTGGCAGTTCCACTGCAATCCATTACTCATATCGTATACTGTGTCTACGCGGCATGAGGGAGTTATAGGGGTCGGTGGCGCAATGATATGCTCTGCTGGTCCTATCGGCATTTTAAGGCGTCCAATTTACGTGCGTCCCCCCACGCGCACACGGCCAACGCATATACCTCGGTGACTGGCACACATCACATGGCACATCACACCTACCCGTGTTGCATATAAATAAATACTCCTGTGGGCGACGGGCGTTCGCGGAGGTACCGAGGAAAAACAAATCCTCTCTATACCCTTGTACAGCCCTGAGACAGTCAAGCCGCCCGAAAGTAGTACGTACATCCATCACCTCAAACTCGGGCCTAACAGACAGATCTGAGTACGCATAACAGTATAAAACCAACACCTGTCGTATGACCTTCCTCGGCCTCACCATGCGCAGCATGTGTATTATATGTATATATATCGTACAACGGTGTAGCCGGCATTTAAACAGTCCTCGAGATATTGCTGCATACATTCGCCTTCATTCGGCCCGCCACTTTGCTCCCATACACCTATACTCGCTAACCACTATTAGGGCGTCTCCGAATGTGCAATGTAGAGAGAGAGAGAGAGACAGCGATAGTTAGGTAAAGAGGCAGCCCCCAGGTCCCCAAAAATTGTAACAAAAAATATTCTCCTGCCCACCCATCCATCCATCCACCCCCCTCCGTCAACCAGCCTCATGCCTGCCACACCGCACTTTTTCCCCTTTGCCGCCTAAAAATAGTGGCCACTGCAATCCCAATGGGCGCATCTACAACACCCACTCCTGGGCAGGCTCCCGCGACCACCTTCACCGCCCCGCGCACCTGCCACCAGCATCTAACCCCCCCCCTGCCCCGCCTCAGGGCCCCCCTGGCCAATAACCTTCTATACCTACCCTTTATACTGCTCGTATCTGCACCACATTTCCTCACTTCCTTGCCACTGCGGCCGACGACCCACCATCCACTACGCCTGCACCTGCACCGCCTCTCCCTCCCCGTCCGCCTGCTGTGTCCCCGTCGCCCCGTTACTGCGCACGTCATGCAGCTCGCGGTAGTGCCGCCGGCACACCGGCGCGTAACTCTCAGTTCCGCCCACCAGTGCCTGCCGGGTGCTAGCGGCGATACGGAGTGTGAAGTGCGAGGGCTTGTTGCAGAAGCTGCATCGCCCTTCCAACTTATCGACCCGGTCAGCCAGGGGCACCAGCTCCAGAAGCTGTGTAGCGGCGGGGGGGGGCAGGGGCAAATGGGGGGAAAACAAGGTGAGGGGGGAGAAACCCCACGTAGCATGTTTTGCAAATGCAAGGTGCTAAAACATACGTCCTGTCTGTGCCATCGTCGTTACCCTTTCCCCCGTGCCCCTCATCCTCGCCACCCCACCGCAAACCCCAAATGTGACAGCTTCCGACTACGCCCACTAGGTCACCCACCTGCCCGAAACGCTGCCTCCGGAAGTCCCCGTTCAGGCCCGCCACAATGACCACCTTGCCGTCCCTCTCCGCTGTGTGCAGCACCGACTCAACCAGATCTGGGTGGCCAACCAGCAAGGCGGGAGGCACGAAGGGAGGGGCGGGGGCGGTTGGGAAAACCAAGGAAACCGCCAACTTGACGGCGGACCAGAGCAGGAAGTGTAGGAGAAGGAAGTTTCAGAGGAAGATGCCGTTAGGGGGGGCTTCAAAAAGGGGAAGTTAAGCGCATCTGTATCTTGGCCCGGTGCGGCACTCACAGCCACCACTTTACAAACACGCCTCAACACAACCCCGCCGGGGATCCAATAAGCTTCTACACGCAACCGCCCACCCGCCCAACCTCATCAACATCCTTCTCACCATCAATGAACTGAGCCTCGTCCACCGCCACAACATCGACCTTATCGTACTCTGCCGTACCCAGCTGTTCTCTGAGGCTGCCTAGCCTTGATAGGCTGATGCAGGGCAATCGCTCCCCGGTGTGTGTGACCACGTGGTCAGTCGAGTAGCGGGTGTCCACCGCACTCTTCACGACCACCACCCGCTGACCCGCGGACTGGGCCTCACGAACATGCTGGAGCAGCCGGGTGGTCTTACCAGCGAACTGAGCGAAGATCGTGGGAGGTGCGGAAGGGAGTTGCGGGCGGGAGAGGGTGATTGAATGGATGGATGGATGGATCAGTCATCGTGTGTTGTGGAACTGGGAAAAGACGGGCAGTTGAAGCGGAGCAGCACACACGACTTCTGCCGCGGGATGGTGTGCATCCCAACCTGGCGATGGGAAATTTTGGGAAAGCAGGTATTCGGAGGGGACCCACAAATACGCGGCTGGGGAAGCGGTGGAGGCGGTGGCTGGCAGCATCGGGGGGTTGGGGGCCCTGAAAGCGCCTCACCATCGGTCCCATGATAAGGTGAATTTCTCCCATGGAATCCCTTGGGGATTTTGTGTTATGAACAGCAGCTGAGGCCTCAGTTCCCAGCTCGGCAGCTTGCGCACGCCATGACGGCATTCGTTGACGAAGTAGACTAGCAAGGTATGATGAACGTAAATTTTGAGTTCGAGACAGCAGGGAATGCATCACGGTTGTTGACAGAGCCAGTCGGTGCCCTTTCGTCGAGTTCTGCATGGGAACGCCGCCACCGAAAAGGGCTGTCCAGACGCCTGCTACAATGCGGCGACGAAAGACAGTGTGCGGCTTCCTTAAGCCTTAATCCTATATGTGCGGTGCGTAAGAGGGTGTGGAAACAGGTGAAAACAGGGGAGCAGCTGTCGGGCCGTCTCCCAAGCAACAAAGCCTATGACACGTCGCCTTTGTGTCAGGAGAACATCAATTACTGGTTGGGCTAAGGCGGAACTCGTTGGCTAATTGCATTCGTTAGCGCGCCTAGGGTTTGAACGGACCCCGTACTTTGCAACCAACTCGGTAACCGACTTCCAATCGGACTTGCATGCGCAATTGTGTGCTGGACCTGTATATGAACGGCTTGCTTCCGCTTTAAGTTTAACCTTTTCCTGCTACGAAATCCTATGTCATGCGACGCACCGTGAACACACCGTGTATGCAGCACCGTGAACCACCGAGCACCGTGAACAGCAATGAATCATTGGGTACAACGATGAAAGCAATCATGTTGGAACAGTTTACCTGAAATTAAGCCATAGGCTCGAATATTTAAAGGATGGCTGCTGTGCCGAGCCGAACGGGAACTAATTTCCTTGCCGGACGGTATGCAATTTGGTTCATCATGCCCCCTCATGATTACCAAACATTTTTTATATCCAGCTACGATGTCCTGTTGATATAGAATAATGCTATATGCCATGGATTTGGAGAGTTTTGGACAACTTTCTAACGCTCCGTTCCTTGGCACGGCTCCGTTCCCCCGCACGCAAGTTGGCTTGCCCGCAAGTCATGAAGGGCTGTGGAGGTCGTTAAGATGTCAATATATTTAACATTTGCACCACGACGTAAAGATGTTCCGTTGAGTGCTGCTTAAGGATTCTGTGCGCCACTCCAGAATACCACCGTTTGCAAGTCGTCGGGACGCGATCCCTGATACAAAGCCTTTGCTTGCTGTTCCCCGGGAGGGGGGAAGGAAGTGCAATCAGGCAAAGGTGAACTCTGGTCGCTGGCCCAATTACCACGCTGTTGAGGCTAGCGATGTGAATACGGTTTCATCAACCATCTGGGAATGCATAGCCAATGTCGTATTATAGAGCAAGGTCAATTGCCGCTTCACCAAGTCTCCACTAGCATAGGGTTCCTGTTGCCTGTTCTCCTCCCTGCAACTCGTCTTCTAATTATTACCCATTTTGCATTATGGGTTGTCATAACCAAAGGCAAATGCGGTCTGCTTTCCTGATCCCCTGCTGTTAAGTTAATGCAGGGCTGGACCCGGGGGCAAGTGGGACAAGGAGCTATAAGTTTTATACGAGGTCTAGCCACTCAGTTCCCATGTTATGCCAAACATCATACGCCGGAAGCAAAAGCACGCATCATGGGTGATCGCGTCAAAAAAGCTTTGAAGGCTCCCCAACAGGAGCAGAGGCCTCCACAATCAAACAAATGGCGTCAACACCGGATACATCAACATCGACCTTCCTTCGCATACCGCCATGAAGCCCAACCTGTCCACCTCACTAACTGCTAAGGCCACACTACGCGCGGCGGCCTTGTAGCCAGGCGCGGACACGATCATGTCACACGTTGTCGCCTAGTTAGATCCTCCTCCTCGCAAAAGACCCGGGCAAGATCAACACAGGCTAGGGCACGCAGGCGGCGATTCTAAAAGAAGCCTGTATAGCTAGGAATTCCCCTAGAAAGCTAAACTGGTTGGCTCCAGAAATAAGCAAGCGGCATAACCTTTCAACACTTAAGGAACCCACATCCCCGAAAGGCGGTATAGATAAAACAGAACCCGTTCAACACAGTGATGCTCAAGAAACGCCGAGCTGGCACGAAGACAGATTCATGTGAACCGTACACTCAAGGACCAGCGCGCTGCGGTCATTCGGGGGTAGCACATCCGCCGATTCGACCTCGCAGCCGCCACAGTGCAGCAAAATAATGCAGCAAACGATGTATATATATTGATCCCTGGAGGGGCGCAACCCGCCAAATCTTTATAGGTTTGGAGGAATAGATGCAAGTGGAGTACCTCCCTGGTCCTCTAGATGAGTTCGTCGCGGACCCAGACAAGGGAACCTATGTTGGGAACAAGCACACACGCCCACCCACCACCGCGTCAACCTCCCCGCCAGGGTACGCACCCCTGGGAGAGATGGGTAGGGATCCCAGTGAGAGAGATTCGACCGGACGACAGCAGGCTAGCGCCATTATTCCCCCAACCGGAGATTCAGGCAACCATATCACCATTCCGCACAAGAAGCGGCATCAACCAGTAGGTATATCTCCAGGCACAGGACGCCACCAGAGGACGCCAAACAACGCGGAAAATAAAGCAAAGCACAAATGCAAATTCTTTTCTTGTCAATAGCATTAATGCACAGCGAGACTGGCAGCGAACAACTGCCGGAGAGCACACACATTTATCATACCACGAAGTAATGCTCCACCATGAACCTCATACTGAAGGCTGATGACGTCAGGACCAAGCTGTCATCGACATGATTTGCAAACTACCCGCCACACGCCTACAACTCCTCACACCACCATGTAGGACGCTTGCCATGGACCCCGCAACAACAACACAACGGCAAGCGACGGAGAACCGCTTCCGCCAATGCCGCACATGTAAGGCCCGACTTTTCCATTCCATGCACCTGCATGCCTGCATACAGCTAACGTCCTGCGTAGATATGCGAGGATGGCGCCTGCAGGCATTCGCCATCCACATGGCGATATCGCCACCAGCCGCGGCAAACGGGGAGCCCGCTGAAACAGCTTGCAACCAACACCACTACGTGAGGGACGCCAGTTGGCTTCCGCCAGTCACTTGTCCAATCTACTGGCCACGCCTGGGCTACTACGGCTCTACCAAGGAACGCCACTCCAACACGTGCCCTTACTGCCGCCACCTGCTATACCACGGCCTCCATCACACCACTAGCCTACTAGCAAAGAGCATCAACAGCACGATTCGCTGCGGTTCACATCGCAGTCACCTGCCCGCCGTTCTATTCAGCAGGCACAACGTCAAAAAAAAGACACCAAAGGCAAAGAGCAAAACTAGCGAGAGCGCACCGTCCTACTATATGTCCTGACGACACCTCTGGCGAAGGAGCAGCCAGGCCCGCAGACACAATGCATAACTAGACGCAGTCCATCACGTCAAACTGTCCGACAACGCTCCCTCCGAATGCGCCATCCAACCGCATTGGAGAAGCACGAGAGTCCAGGTAGTACCCATAGACCCGCAACATGGCAACCGACTGCCAAACCGCAGATAAAAAAATTTAAGAGCATGACAACAAACACGAGCATTAAGCATGTATCAAGATATCCCACTCCGCCCCTCTGCATCCTTTCCAGCTTCACTAGGTCAAAAGAGGAGCAAGCAAGCGACCCATAAACCCTTCAAACGCTACGCCAAACGATGCCATACGACAACTAAGAATTGGCGTTCGTGTTGGCGGGCTTGAAGAAGGCGTACAGTCGCGGGTACACCACGTCAAAGTAGGCAAACACAGTCTTGAGTGCCAGCTTGCTGCATGGAGCGCCCTCAATCAGGTCACATGTGGGGGTGCCGCCAAAGGCGTACACCCGACCGGACACATACGCCAAATCATCCCTGCAAAATCATCAAAAGGACGTTACGCGGTGGCGGGACCGGGAAGCCCCAGTGAATATGGGTCGAAATGTCGGCGCAGTACAGCTTCTGGCCGCCCTTTGGGAACACAAGAATAAGAATTCGGTTGGGGGAAGTTACTGGATGCTATATGATAGACGGGGTCGGTTCACTGCTAGGTGTGAGCACGAGCCTCGGTTACCTACGGAGCGGCCTACCCCTGCGTTCCAACCAAAGAAAAGAGAGTCCCGAGTGAAAGCGCAGCGCTGCGGCCAGGATCGTGGTCCCCACCTGACTACACAACAGCAACACTGTATAAACAGCGCCGCAACACATCCCAACAGCTCTCACCGAAAGCGGGCCTCCGGCAGCGGCGCCTTCTGCACCCAAATGTCATCCTGCACAATGTACTCTTCCACGTCGTACATCGCCATGAAATTCTGGGTACCGTTGCCCCGCTCTCCACCCGCCACAATAATGCGGCCGCCCGGCAGCGCCTCGATTCCAAAGTCACCGCGTTTCGAAATCATGGGCGCACGCGGGCTCCATTGACCGGTAGCAGGGTTGAAGGCCTGTGATGGCAATGCGAGGCAGGGGAGTGGAGTCGCACCCAGATGGACCTCTAGGGGCCGTGTGGAATTCTGGGAGAGAAGAACCCAGATGGCCATTTGATGTGGGTACCATATCGAGGAGCTAGAAAGAAGTTGATTAGTCCACAGACACCCGCAATCCCATCCTTCGTGGGACGCGAGGTGGTGATGATGAGATGACGACGGTAGAGGTGCGAATCCATGTGGCATCATGGCTTGTCGTGGCAATGCTGGAAGCGTTCACAAGGCTGTGAATCCGGAGCCTACCTACCTCCACAGTGTTGAGGAACTTGTAGCAGTAGACCCAGTTCGCAGTGCAGTTCTGCTTTGTGTTGTTAAACCACTGCGCACCGCCCATCGCATAGATGATGTTGTCAATGGACACGGCTCGACAGTCGCCACTGTGGGGAAGCAAGGGGGAGTCAAGGACGGCACAATGCACAGCGGCGCGCCAGAAACAAGGAACAGGGGGATTCGCGTATCGTCACACACACACACACACACCACTACGTGCACATGCAGGGGAAACTCCTCCACGAAGGTTTGTCCCTCCTCCTAACCTTCCCCTTGTGCCTTACCGCGCGTCCAGCAGGTTGCTTCTGGCGGGGAGCTGCGTGCACACGGCCGGCGCGGAGCCCGCGGCAGTGCTTGGGTCGCAGACCTCCACAGTGGAGAGGCTATTGCCGTCGAGATCATAGCCGCCAAACACATACACCTTGCGAGCCAAAGGAGAGCGCAGCGGAACCGAGACTAAGTCAACAATGTGACCCTGCTTGCGCAAAGACTGTGTATCCAGACAAGACGCAAGTCCCAAGTCGCATCCAAACTGCCATTGTGTTGCATGAGCTCGCTGCCGTCACGCAGCGGCGGAAACCGAGCAAGTTGACTGTCCTGCCACCCATGTCGCCATCCCCAAAATTCCTCTGTTAAGGACAGGTCCACACGGACTCAAATGCCCTGCGGGGCTCACCAACTCCTATGGAGGCGATACATACATACATGCGCACCATCTGAGGAGCACCACCGGGTCCGCTGGGCCCAGGCAGACCGACGCACCTTTCCGTTAGCGGCGGCCCCACACGGGTCTACTCGGGGTGTCTGCAGCTGACCAATGGGGCTCCAGCTGTTGCCGGAAATGTTGTACACAAACACCGTGTTAGTTGGTGTGCCCTTCTCCACGTCGCTGCTACCGCCCATGACGTAGATTTGGCCGTTGAGCTGCGCGTAGGCGAAGCGGTACCTGCGTATTTTTGCCAGGGGGCGGGTAAGCTTGCGGACAGGGGCGGAAGGGGTGCCCGGGAGGCGCATGTGTGTTTCGCGCCCTTGTTCCCTGTGTGCATCAGGTCTTGTTGACGCCATGGCCTCCCCACAGGCCATGGCGTCCACCCCACAGGGCCTGACAGCCGAGTGACCTAACGAATCTGCCGTACCTGGCCTCCGGCAGCGGCTTCATCTCGTACATTAACCCCGTTTCTGTGTCGTACTGGACGACAGAGCGAAGCACCGTGGCGTTGGATCCGTTAAACGCGGTCAATCCCCCGATCAGGTACGCGTACTTCTGGTACGAGATGACCTGCACAAATATTGCATAGATACCATTGCGGTGGAAAAATATGAGTGAAAGCCATAGCCACGTTGGTATTGCATGTTGTTGGGGATTTGGGGGTCTCGACCGTGGGTTGACACGCACAGTGGTAGGTTCGTTAGGGCACATGCAAACTTCGAGTGAACAAACTAAAGAGACAATAGTTAGCTAGTCTTAGTTTTAAAACGACGCACCGGCAGTGCATATCGGCAGTGTGATTAGACTGCCTGATAGGGTCAGGAATTCATGCCTCGACTGGGTGGCCGTTACGCGGTTCTCCTAAGATGGAGCTATCGGCCATACTGCCCTCAGCCCCTTCCCCTGAAGCGCTAGGCAAGATAATCCCATTCGTCTTACCCCATGATCGCTACGCGCATGAATCATGTCTGCGGCCGGGCTCCAGTAGCCGAGACCGGTGCCCAGGGAGAACACTGAGTATCCAGCAGGCGCGGTTTTGGGGTCGGAAACCAGAACGGCGTCTGAGATGTGAATGGAGCGAACACGGGCCGTAGCATAGCCTCCAAGGATGAAAGCAATCACCGCGACAGCGGTGAGCAACAGGAAGTAGAAAATTGCGCACGCCTTGCTAAGCGCTTGGAGGACTGAAGAGCTTGAGCGGTTTGTAGGCTTAGCAGCATATTGTGCCCCTTGCACGGTGCCGTCTAAGCTGTTGAACTGGGGCTGCTCAGCCCCATTGTAGTAAGTGGCCATTAGCGCGGCTGTCGAGGCGGCCTTCGGCGGCGGTTGTCGCTGTCCAGCCTTGTCTTAGTATGTGTAGAAAGTCTCCAGTTTACGCAAACAATTGGTTATGGAGAGGAGAGGCTTGTTTATATGTGAAAACCACACCTTGAAGTACGGAAATATGGCTTGCATCGACATAAATATCGAATGCATCATACACGTGCTGGACGTTCATCAATAAAAAATACGCACAACTTCGCACAGGAGTGAACCTCGAGCTGTCAGCAGCCCTACCTTAACTCGATACTATCCCGGCGAACTGCTTCCAATCTCCCCCATCAACAATCGCGTGTGATAATTGCCTCCACCTCTGCGCCGTGATCCTATTTACATCGCTAACCTAGCCCTCTATCTTCCGTCACTGCCGTTCTGGGCCTTGCAAGATCACAAGGTCGTGTCGTGGTTTAAATATTTGAAACCGAAACATGATAACACGGCCAACGCCACGAATTCCCGGCAAGAACGGAGAATCAATATCTCAGGCCGAGTGATAGTGATGGTGCCCAGGGAAAGGCGTGACGCCCGTCGGCGCGTGACAGCCCAAAAGACCTGAAGCTTTTTGCCGCGGACGCTGAGTTGTACTGCGCCATCCATTAATAGGAGAAAAGGGACACAGGCCGTCCTGGCGGGCAGCGGGCATTTTTTTCCATCCGGTCAAGCTGTCCCGACCGCTCCACACGGTCTCTGTGGGGCCCTGCACCAAGCCATCAAGGGGGGCCCACTCACATTATGTCCACGATTGGATGTCGAACATGCCTGCAGCTGAGATCTAGTACACGTACTTTCACAATTTCCCTGGTTTGGAGTCCATTAAGACTCGACAGCTTACGCCGTCGCATCTTCAGGTTGGACAGTTAGGTGCGAAGTGGGCACAGATCTCTTGTCACGGAAGTCCTAAGACCACACGTCACCATAAGCGTTGATGTTCTCGCATAGTCCACGTCTTCATTCACCTTAGACGCCCCCATGCCTTCGGCGTTATGGGGCTTTTGGTTTGCAAATAGCCTCTGCACAAGTCTCAACGGAGCGTAACAAACCCCAGTATTATGAAGCTCCCCATGCACTTCCGTGAAAACATGTAAGATACAGAATGCATACGGGAGCGCCTTGGGCACAGAGCTGTGTCATGCTTTGTGCTAATGTCTGAAGGGTCTTGCCATGATTACGACTTGGGGCCGAAGTCGCTTGAGTGCCCCCGTCATTCCCCTGCGCTTTCACGGCATTCACTGATAAGGTCGGTGCCACATCACGCGAAGCATACGATCCATGAGCTTGGAGCAGCAACCAGGCCGAGATTCGTGAAGGTAAAAACGAATAAAGGTCGATAACGATATAGGCTAATTATCGCGCAGGGTTTGCCGTATCTTCAAACCTGAGTATCCGTACAAGTTCTGCCCGCCCACGCTGAATGTGTGCTCAGACTGTTTCAATAATGCGTGCTGCGTATAAAGCGTTAATCATTTCTCACATTCAACTTAAAGTGTCGACTAGCTCTTTAATGCCTGGAATGCTATGCCGGGCGGCCTGAGTTGTCCTTGATGCTCGTAACCTAGACGGGCTTTGATCAATTTGCTAAGCCTCAGTAAGTAATATGGGCACAGATCACGACGAACCACACGACCGCGAGAGGAGCTCACGGAAGCACAAGGAGAAAGAAAAGAAGGAGAAGAAAGAGAAGAAGGAAAAACGGGAAAAAAAGGGTCGTAAAAAAGATAAGCCGGAGTCCTCGCAGCCTGCTTTTGAGGCCGATGCAGACGGCGCAAAAGTAAACGATGGCGATTCTCCAACTAACTTGCCATCACCACCTCACATCCGTGACATCAAGGATCGTGCAAGGCGTGGCGGAAGCCCGAGCCGCAGCCGGAGTCGCAGCAGGACACGTCGCGGAAGTCCCGCGCGAGGGGACAAGAAGTCCCAGCCCCAGCAGCGCGACAAGACCAGCCCGCCTCGTGGAAGGAGCGTGAGCCCGGATCCCGAGCGCAAGTACCGAGGCGGGCGTCGTAGCAAGAGCCCGGAGGACAGCCGACGCGGCGGGGACAAAAGCCCGCACCGCGGTGATGATATTGGCAACGGCAAACGCCGCAGCCGCAGTCCGGCCGGCCGCAGTACGCGTCGAGTGGATCGCAGCCGCAGCAAAAGCCGCAGCCCGCAAGCCAGACGGCGTGTGGGCAGCAGCCCTGATGCCAAGCTGCTGCGTCCGACTGCCGCCCGCCGCAGTCGCAGCCGGGAACGAGGGAGGGACCGGGACCGCAAGGAGGCGCGGCCTGGACGAGCCAGCCCCGGCGCGGCACCGAAAGGCGCCTATGCGAGCCGCAGCCGCAGCCCTGGTCGTGGTGCAAAGCGCCATGTTAGCCATAGCCGCAGCCGGAGCCCCCAGCGGGGTCAGAAGCGCCGAAGCAGGAGCCGTAGCCAGAGCCGGGGGCCGGGACGACAGGGGGCCGCCAGCAGAAGCCGCAGCCGGGGCCGGGCGCGCAGTCCGGAGAGCAAGCGTGCGCGGAGCAGCAGTCCGGGCAGACGAAAAGAGCGGCCCCGTCGGGAACGAGACCGTGAGCACGACAAGGACCGGGAAAGGGACCGAGATCGTCGGAATAAAGATCGTGGTGATCGGGAGCGCGACAAGGACCGGGGGGCTGATAAAGAGGAGGTCGAGGAGGAAGTTGGTCGGCGGAGCAATGGGGATCCTTCTGCGCGTCTGGCTGCCGCGGCAGTAGCGTCACAGGGCGAGGGTGATGGCAGCCCCGCCGGTGACGTTGCGGCGGCCGATGAGGAGAGGACGGGCGGCGGTAGCGGCAGCTCAGCACCCAGCGGAGGCGACGGCAGCGACGCGGCACCTATGGAGGAGGGCGACGGCGGCGGCGGCGGCGGCGGCGGCGACGACAGCAACATGCGCCGCGGCACAGCGGTTGCTGAAGTTGGGGCCACAGGCCACCATGGCCCTGCTGACGACGATGACGGTGGCGGGCATTGTGGCAGTCCTGAACCTATGGACGCTGAGGCACCAGTCGTTGACAACAACGCGAATGCGGCCGCAGAAGGCAGCAACGGCGGCGGTGTGGCGGCTCCAGGGGAAGACGAGGACGAGCTGCTACCTCCGCCGCCGTCCCAACAGTTGCGGCATGGCCACGGGCCGGAGCTGCCACCTCACGTGGAGGACCAAGTGCAGGGGGCGCTGGAAGACGTGTACTTTCAGTCGGAACAGTACGGCGTTCCGGAAATCACGTCCGTTCCGGGAGAGCTGGTGGTCATGTCAGCAGCGGAGGCGGAGACGGAGGCTAAGCCGTCGCAGAAGCGTTCACGCTGGTCGCAGCCCGTCAATGCCATTCCATCCGGGCTGCCACCGCCGCCGCCGGTGCCAGCGGGCGGGCTGCCCCCAGGGGCTTTGGTTGCGGGGCCTACCGCCGTTGCTGCCTCCGACGTCAACGCCCACGCCACGATGGCTGAGATCGACATAAGCCGCATGACTAACTGGGAGATCCAACAACAGTTGGACTTCCTGCGGCAGGATGCGGCCGCGCAAACCGCCGCCGCCACTGCCGCCACGCTGATTGCGCGCGCTGGCGGAGGCGCCGGCCTGCGAAATGTCGCCCCTGGCACCGCGCCCGGCGAGCTGCCGCTGTCGTCAAAAGCTAAGGAGCAACAGCGGCGGGAGCGGCAGCGGAAGCTACAGGAAGAGCTTCGGAGGCGGCAGGCGGAGGCAGCAGCGCAACCGGTGACTGTGGACTCGCTTTTTGATGCTGACCTGGCGGCGGCGCAGCGTCTCTCTATTGCAAAAGCCGCCGCCGCGGCAGCGGCAGCAGCGCCGACGGAGGCGGCGGCGGCGCTGGCGGCCGCCGTCGCGGCGGCAGAGGCGGAGGCCGCCCTGGGCGGCGGCAAGGCCAACGTTGCTGCAAACGCCGCCGCCAAAGGCGGCAAGAGCGACGGCGGATCTGGCCCTGCTGCTACGACTGCAGCTATTGCAGCGGCAGGGGGCCCTGAAAGCGAGGAGAAGAAGAAGGGCTTCATGCTAATCCGCAAGAACAACTTGCTGCCTGCCCGACGGGCGGTGTTCAACCCGGCCAGCAAGACGCTGGCGGCGGCGGCGGCCAAGGCGGAGGAGGAGGCGGCGGCCAAGGCGGCGCTGCTGGCGGCGGCAGCAGCCAAAAGTAAGCAGCTCTTCCAATATAATGGTTTCCGCCGAGACATGGAAAGAAGCTAAAACAACCTCGTTAGCAAGCCATCGATATGGCTATATCGGGGTCTTGCAGCCGGAAGATCCCAGTGTGATCTTCAGACGAAATATAGCCGTGCGCGCTAACGCATTTCATAACACGCGCTGACGATTAAGAAATGGCATTAGGCATTAGGATGTTTCCGAGCTCCGGCGCCCCAACACCCAATACCTCCTCCTACCTGCTCCGGTCCTGGTGCCGTGTGATTGCTCCGGTTGCCCCTGCCCCTGCGCCCGGGGACCACGGTTCCCCTCTTTCCCCCCTTTGCAGCGGCCGCCGCGGAGGCCGCCTTTATGGAGTCCATGGTAGAGGAGTTCATGGCCTCTACCAGGAAAGCCGACGAGGCCGGTCGTACAGCAGCGCCATCAGCCGCGGCGACGGCTGACGCCGCCGCCGCTGCAGCGGGGGCCGGTGAGGAGGACAAGGAGTACGAGATCGGAATTGACGAGGAGGACGACGGTGCGCCGCCTCCGCCACCGCCGCCACCACCTCCACCTGCGCCTGGGGGGGTAAGTGCGAGGGCCCGCCCTTGCGGCAGTGTTGAGGGGGTGTAGGGCTCCGAGCTCCCCCTCCCTCCGGGGGATGCGGCCCCACAGGGTTGCACCGTGCTGTGTGGGTGGGTGGGCAGTGTTCGAATATTGTGGTCCTGAGGGCGCCTCCGCCTGAAGCCCACCTATGGCATTTTCCCACTCGCATTCCTATTCGTATTTCCCTTGTATCCCTGTAAAGTGATTGTCCGATTGGGTAGCCCCCTGGCCCGACTGCTGCTTGGCTCCCCAAAATGATTTGCAGTCACAAGTTCGAGACACTGTTGTGCAGCCCATTCAGCTTATTCGTGCTTTATGCTCCCTTTCCTCTGCCTGCCTGCCTGCCTGTCCCACTTCCTTAGACGTTGTCTCGTCTAAACCTTGTCTCATGTACAATCTTATGATGCCGCCCTCCCGTGAGCAGGCGCCGCCAGCACCGCACTGGCCGCCACCTCAGCAGCCGTACGCAAGTGCGCCGCCGCCACCACAGCCCCAGTCTGGGCCCTACCCGCCATCGCAGCCCCCGCCGCCACAATACATGCCCTACCCGCCACCGCAGTCGCAGCATCCGCCGCCACCGTATGGCATGCCACCTCCGTACGGCATGCCGCCACCGGCACCGGGGCCTCCGCACGGATATCCCCCGCAGTATTCGCCGTACGGCCCCCGACCGCCGGCCCCGCTGCCGGGCGTCCCGCCGCCACGTCCGCCGCCCGGCGGGCCGCCACCGCCGGGACAGCACTACGGTCAACCCTTGCCGCCGCCCGGGCAACCGCTGATGCATCACCCCGGGCCATCGGGCCCACCGCCACCGCCTTGGGCAGCGCCCGGGGGCGGCCCACCGCCGCATCAGCACCAGCAGCATCAGCAGCATCAGGGCCCAGGAGGGCTTCACCCCTTCGGTCCCATGGGGCAGTTCCGACCCATGGGGCCGTCCGGAGCAGGGCCGCCACCACCGGACGGCCCACATGGCCCACACCAGCATTTCCCGCAGCGCCCGCCGCCTCCGCAGGGCCCCGGGTTCCCACTTGGGGGGGGTCCACCACCACCGCCTCCACCCAGGACCATGCACCCCGGTGGCCAGCCACCCTTGCAGCAACAGCCGCCATCGCACCAGCCACCACCACAGCAACCGTATTCTCAGGCACAGCCGCCCCCGCAGCAGCAGCAATATCCTCCGGCGGAGCAGCAGCAGCAGCTCCCCCCCCCTCCGGACCAGTTGCAGCAGCATCTGCCACAGCAGCAGGAGGGCTTACAAATTGCACCTCAGGGCCAGCAGCAGCAGCAGCAGCTGGTGCAGCAGCAGAGCTCCAAGGCCTTGGAGAGCCCAGCGGCTGGCACACCCGGCGGCGGCCCGCCGCTGCCGCCTTGGGCGAGTGCGCCTCCGCCGCCGCCACCCCCGCCGAAGGCACAACCCCTGGAGCCTGCGCAGCAGCAGCAAGGCCTGCCCCAGCAACAGCCGCACCATTGGCCGTTGCCGCCACCGCAGCAGCAGCAGCAGCAGCAACCATTACCACCACTGCAGCAGCAGCCACAGGGGGGTCCCATGGGTCATGCACCACCACCGCAGCCGCCAGCACCGCTCCAGCACCGCCAGCCCCAACAGCAGCCACAGCAGCAGCAAACGCATCCGGCAATGATGAGGGCTCCGGGACCCCACGGTGGGGCCCCTCCGCCGCCGCCGCCGCCAGTGGGCAGCGGACCCGGCATGATGAGCAATATGGGTCCGATTACCGGTGGTGGTGGTGGTGGCGGTGGCGGTGGCGGCGGAGCCATGGGAGTCATGGGAACCATGTTCAGCGGCGGCGGCGGCGGCAGCGGTATCAACATGGCCGCCGCTGCACCTCCGCCCGACCTGATTGGCCTCGTGCCGCCGCCGCCACCGCCAAGGGTCGCACCGGGCATCGATGCGGGGCGGACTTAGGTGGCGAGGTCGGTCAGGAGGCCGCATGCGCAAGATGTCCATCCTCTTACGCACTTGCAGTATGACCGCCCTCTCCACACTACGAATATGAGTTACGTTCTGCTGGGAACGGCCAGTGCGTGTTGCCCGTCCTTGGTCTACTGCCACCGCCACCGCCACCTCTCCGGAGATACCGCGGGCGGCGATGCGAGGTTGACAACTCACGGTGCCTCTTTAACACCCCAGGTGTGATCGGTTTGTCCAGGCGAGTTCGTTGCTCGGTTGGAATGCGTTGTACAGATGCTCGTGGCAGCGGGCTGTGCGCCACAAAGCGACTGAGCATGAACAGGCGCGCGCGCGGGCGGGCGATGTGGCGATGAGGGTCGTAGTGGACGGGGTTGGAGGTTAGGGTGCTGGTCTTGTGACCGTGTGCGCTCGGCTACTCGCTTCGGGAAGTCTATAAGGGGGTAGGGCCAGGGTACGGTGCTGGGACGTGAGGGTGGGTACGTGGTATGTGTGCCCTGTGGCGAGCGGTTTAGTCGACTGGTTGACTGTGCGGCTGCCCATCCCCCTTTCGGGTGTGGGAGTGGGAGAATGGGCGCGACGCGAGTGACGGATGTGGCAGCTGCGGGAGGCGAGGTGCAGGTCCCCGTGGGGGTTAAGGCGGGGGGGGCTGGGGGGGAGGGGTCGATGGGTGCGGAGGAGGGGGAAGGGGGAAGCGGAGGAGGAACCTGCAGGATGGACGACAGCCAGGGGTAGGAAAGGAGGTTGCCTGGGCTGCGGCAGAAGTCACAATTGGGTTGGGTTGTCGGACGCGCCGTGTACCGGGAGTCCTTCTCACCGGTCCTGGATGCGAATGTAGGGGTGATGGTGCTCAGAAGTTGCGGACCTGGGGGCGGTGGCCGTTTGAGCAGATGGGGTTGCTGCAGGGCGGCTGGTGAGGTTGCGGGGCGGTGCACGAATGTGCTCGGGGCCCAGCCGGGCATTTCAGGAGGAGAGGTGCCATCAGGTTGACCGGCTGGGGAGGCTGCAGCCTTCATCACCATCGCCCGCAGGACTCTCACACGGCACACGGGCGCGGGCGCACGGGTAACGGACATACATACCTTCTGTGCGGGGGAAGTCCTGCGTGGTTGCTGCTCTGTGGTTGCTGTTGTCAAAGGGCAGGGAGCTGGCCACGGCGCGCTGGCGTTGGCACGATACCCGTCTGAAGCCAGAGGCAGCCGTCGCGGCGGCGGATGGTAAGGTGGTCATCAGCCTGAGGGAAGTCACGATAGCTGTTCACTAGCAGGGGCAGGGGGCTTGTCGCCTCGGTGTGTAGGGGGAAGAAGCATCTGTCCGGCCTGTGCTGACAGATCACATACATAGGGCCGCACCGGACATAGGCGGAGGGGACTGTTCAGACGGGGATGTCCTTGTCGACCTCGAGGTGCATGGTGCTGGCGGTGAAGGTGCAGAGCTAGGATGCGGGTCAGTCGGCTGGTGGCTGCTCTGTCTGCCTGTGCTTACTTCTACATTCCTGGATCGAGTCATTTGTCGGGGCCAGGGACCTATCGGGGGCTTCGTTGCGAGACGTCCGTGCTTGCGCGTCAGGCCAGAAGCCGCCTTTTGGCCAAAGGCCTCGTTGTTCAATTGCGGTTGCCGGCTAATATTCTTTTGGTCAATCGGACCGGACACAGGAGGCATATGGGCAATTTCCATGAACAAGCGACGTGGCTGGAATGCAAAGCGCAAAACGACGTGCACGCTCGTGTGTGTATGTGTGTGTGTATGTGTGTGTGTATGTGTGTGTGTATGTGTGTGTGTATGTGTGTGTGTATGTGTGTGTGTATGTGTGTGTGTTGTCCTGCTTGCCGTTCCCCGGTTCGTGCTGAGGCACAGGGAAGTGTCCGCTCCGGTTCGCCTAAATAACTACTTTAAAAACCTTCTCCCAAGGACTCGCAACTTTCGTTGAGATCCCATGCCTTATCAAGGCTCCAGAGTACTGGAAGCGTGGGCAGGCAAATCCAGGCGCACTGGAGTACAGGCGCTGACATCACACCTCTGGTCCGCTGGTTGCGGTGCGCCATCGAGGGCCGTCGGCAGCTCCCAAGCCAAAGGGATGATGGCCCTTTCTCATCTCGCACGATGCCGTCCTGCACGCGCTGCTGAGATCCGTATTGGGCTACGGAAGAGGGACGTATGGGACCCCATAAACAACGGATTATAACGCGGGCCTCGTAAAACGGATTTTTTTTACATCACACCTGTTCCTGCCATACACGAGTTTCATAGAGTTGTAGAGGTCATCAGGCAACGCCCTGTGCAGGCAGTGAGCCATGCAATAACAACAGAAAAAAACTTCAACAAATCTGCATATGCATTTAAACCAGGGGGAACGCATTGCTCCGGCATTTCACCAGCCAAGAAAAAAACAGAAGCCCATCCAGCAAACCGATTGCGCCGAAACAGGGGCCCCTGCGAACAGAACACGTCATTCCGCAGAAATTACCATTCATGCACCCGCTACAGCTGTTGCCAAAATGCCAAAACTGTTCAGCAGCACATCTACTAGTTTGCCCTCAGGCGGGGCCCCACGTGGATGGGCGCGGCGGCGGCGGCGGCGGTCCTCCGCTAACCGCGTCTTCTTCACCTTACCCTGGCCCCTCCCATTTCCCTCGTCACAACTCAGAGGCACACGCATGACTAGAAAACCACACAAATCACAGCCTGCTGTGCATGCCCCCCGCCACCACCAGCGTCTCCCCTGTCACGTAGGCCGCATCTGGCGACACCAGGTACGCCACAGCTGCCGCCTGCTCCTCGGGCCGACCCAGTCGCTTCAGCAGTGTAGCCTCAGCCTGGGCGGAAGCCTGGAAAAGTTCGGGTTTTGGGTTGTGGAGGTGGGATCTGTGGTTCAAGCCGGGGGACGAGGTGGCCAGTTGGCCGATGGGGGACTTGCGGCAGGCTAGCAAAGTGGGACGAGTTGCTGGTGCTGTGGGTGCTACCTGTGGGTGCTACCCATGCCCAAGTTCTGTCAGGAGCACGAAACCCGGTCAAAGGTAAGCCTGTGACCCAAGCACAACATCTTCAGCGGTTGCAACTCTACTGCTCACCCGCAAAGCCTTACCAGGTGAACAGGCCCCCTTCCATGGCTTCAGCCCACTCCGCATCGCAACCCCAGGATACAATCTCATCCGCCTCCTCCACCTCCCCAATATCAGGATCGGCCCCCTCGTTCCCCGCCCCATCCTCATTATCGTCTCCCAGTAGCCCCCCTCCAACACAATAAAAAAACACGCACGCCCCAGCCCTTCCCCCTCGCCGCCCCGCGGCCGTTCCAACTTCCTCTTCCCCTCCTAACCCCACGGAAGCCCCCATCACGCCTCCAACCCCCCTCGCACCCACCAGCTCCGGAGTCTGCACCAGGGCCGCAGAGAATTTGGTTGGCACGATACCCGGAGCCACACAGTTCACCCGCACCCCTCGGGGGCCTAGCTCAGCTGCCAGGCCCTTCGTCTGAAGAAAAAGGGAACCAGCACCGGGGGGGGGGAGGTAATAAGCGATGGCGAAGGGAAAGGATAGGGAGCCAGGGGAAATCGAACCGCGCTGAACGACGGGGACACGGAAGTCTTATGACCCTGTGGTATTGGGTCATAGAAACACGAGAAAGCGGTAATCGTTGGAGAGCCCCCCCCCCCCAAGGCAGCGGAAGCGCATATAAGGAGCGGCCTGGCCCCCTGTTCAAGGGGCCGGACGGAAGGAGGCAAACAGTGTACCCTGCCGCCTCCGGCAAGCAAGCCCTCCCCCGATCACGGCCCTCCAGCAGAACCGAGTGTAGTGACTTCACCGCTTTCACCGTCCCGATCCTCACCAATCCCAGCAGTGCGGTCTTGGACACGGCGTACATGGCGATGGGCTCGGGGGGACTGGGAGGAGGTCACGGAGCAGCGACCGGAGGAAAAGGTAAAGCAGGGGGGGGAGCAGGAGGACAGGTGTTCGAGTCAGCACGGGACCGCTGGGGTAGAGGAGGAAAAGGTGCACAAGGGCCCCAGCCGCCACGCCAAGAAGGAAAGCGCTCACGATATTTTGCACAACGGCAAGCCAAGCAATCGAAGTCAAGTGTGTGACGCGGAGCACAGCATATCCCCTTGGAGGCGATACGCTACTGCGGTCCAATGGCCGTCACCCATGTCGTCTGCGAAATGACCTCCTGGTCGTGCAGGGTTGCCACCACTACACATGGGCCCCTCTCTCCTACTCGACCTCCTCCTCCCCTGTCCCGCCCGCCTGTCAGCCCCGCACCCGCAGCCCCCCCACCTGAATGCGGTCACTGACGACACGAACACAATGGAAGCCCCAGGTCTCTGAATTAAGTGGGGCAGAGCTTCCTGGACGAGCAGCACCGCCGACTGAAGGGGGGCCGAGGGCGGGGAAGGGGGACGGGGCCCCGGCCACGGAGGGTGTGCCATGTCAGTCAGCATGAACACGAACAGGCCAGGGAGCATGAAGAGCAACAAGACAGTGGGAAAGCTCTGGAAGTACGGTATCCGGGAGACCCATACACACAGACCCGTACTCCCGTACAGCTTTGCCCACTAACCCCCCTCTCTCCCCCCTCCCCTTGTCTGGCCCCCGGCTGCAGCCGGCGCTGCCCTGTCCCGACCCCCCCCCACCCCCCGTCTCCAGCCCCACTAACAGTCCCACCCCGCCCACCTTGATGTTGATGTCCAGGATCTTATCAATCACGTCTGGGGGCGTCTCCGCCAGCGGCCCCGCTCCGGGGTTCACCGCCGCGTTGCTGACCAGGATGTCCAACCCGCCGTACCTCTACAAGGGGGAGCAGCGAGCAAGTGTACGACTGCGTGGTGTGCGACTGAAACGAAACGAATCGTGTTACATGTGTGTATTAGCGGGGGATGTCGTTCACGTCGACACACGTCCATGCACACCATACAATGTGTATGGTGGGGGACGTCCGCCTGTCTCTGGCTCAGAGCCGCTGCGCGTCCCCTCAGTCGGTCTGTTGACAACTCGGTTGGCCACCTAGCCGGATGCACTTGGGAAACACCTTCAGCTGTGACCTACCACTCCCCCGAGCCTGCAACCCCCTAAGTCCCCTCCCCCTCCGTGTGCGTGTGTGTGTGTGTGTATGGCCAGCTCTTTTCCCATCCCCCCACTCACCTGCACGCACTGCTCCACCAGCCGCCGTCGCTGCTCCGCGCTACCCACATGGCAGGCACATCCCGACACTTCCAGACCTAGGTTCCGGAGTGCCGACACCGTCTCATCCACGTTGGACTGTTTCCTGAACGCCATCCGTGTGGGTAACAAAGGGGATGGGCGGAATTATAAAGACGCATAAGTCCAATTTTGATATTTAGGGATGGTGGGAGGGTATTGGATAGGAAGGCAACACCCAAAGACTCCGACATTTGTCGGTTGGGTTGGATGAGGCAGGTAGTGGCCTCCCAGCCCGGTGGCTGCTGGTGGTGGCTATTGATATCTTGGCGCGATATCACCCCCCGAGGTAGTGGTGACGACGGGAATTCCGTGCATTGGGTCTACGCACAAGGTGTGCCTCATGTTCACGAGTATTTTAATTGCTCATTGCGGCTACAAGTTGCGACAACGGGGGAGCCGCAGATGGTCGACAGAAGCGGTAGAACGACCCCATGGAAGGAAGGGATAGCGCAGAAACCCAGTTCGCAAATCCATTGTGCGCTTGTGGCCCACCTTACCTGCTGCAAATAAAAACATTCGCACCCTCCTGCAGGCAGCACGAATATGAAGTGGTTCAGCGAAGGTCACAAAGGTCGGGGGCCTCAGGAGACTAGTGTCCACGACAGCAGCGGGGTCATGGGGCCGGGATTACCGCCTTTCGGAGGAGAGGTTGCTGCAAACCTGCCTAATAGCTGGGCTGCCATACCTGAGCAAGTCGCTCAGCGATTGCAAGGCCAATGCCAGCCGTGGCTGCAGTTACGAGAGCCACTTTGCCCTCCAGCCGTTTGCACTTTACATCGCCCGCAGATGTGCTCATCCTCTGCCAATAAATGTTTTTACCGGCAATTGAAATGTATGAAGGATGAGGCTTAAAACTTGCGCTTTGGGCAAGGGATGCCGAAAATTGAGACCCCCTTGTAAGATTCCAGCTGCGCTTCCTGACAATCACTATATTGATTCAAACTCCTTGAGTTGTTGGTATGTTGTAAGGTGCAATCCTGGGGAACAAGTCATAATCTTGTCCTTGCCGTGCAAGTGACTAATGCAGAGCTCAACGGTTTATAGGATATTACAATACTACAAAGACCATCAAAGGTAAGAATCTGACGCTGCATCAGCGTGTACTTATGGCCTGTATTCTTCGTGGTGCGCATCGTTGAGTCTATGCTTGCAAAACCTGTTTCCACCCTCCTTCGCCTCGGTCACTGCCTCTTTAAGAGCGCGGGGACACCGGTTGTGCCATGATAAAGCGGATACTATTTACAGATTTAGCTTTCATCCTATAAGGTTGTCCTTGCTGTGATGCCAGCTTGACGGTTATCCTCTCGGTTGAGATATGCTAACCGCTACCTGCGATTTCACCAATCGCCATCCAATGGAGTCGCAAGGTCATTCACCATCTTAGAGCTTAAATGATTTAATAAAATAACTAATGTTATGTGCACCTCTGTAAGCGGTGGCGCTTACAGTGAATTAGCTTTTGGAGTACGGCTGTAGGCCAACCATCAACCACCCGGGCATTCCAGCTGCGAGCACTTGGAGCTTCTGCCCAGATGTTTCTCACAGGTCCTTGCATACAACTTAATTTTTAGGATCGTAGATGATGTTCGACACCTTGATCATTACGCGCCAGCTGTGATTTCAGCATCGCTTTAGTGGCAGGGACTAGAGAAGCAAAGCTTTGACGCATTCATTTGAGCGATGCATTCGAGATTCTACGTCTCTATACACTATAGTAGTTGCCAAGTTGCGCTGACCAAGGCCTAATTATGCCACTAATGGAATTTAAAGATGTAAAATAATCATGAATGAAATGATGTTAAGCGTCTTGAGTTGATAACGATACTAAGGTAGCATGTCAGCGCGTCGACCATCGCGCGGGTCGGCAGAAGGGGCAACAGCGCTAACGCGCAATAATAGCCTGTCTGGCCTTACAGAGGAATCAATCAAGAGCGTAAGCGCAATGACAGCGCGTCGACGACCCTTACTGGCCACTGGCATGAGCTTGAACCCACGCATTTGCAACGTGTAGGCCACACAACGCTTTGACCTTGAAATAGTCTTCAAGCTCTCGTGGACATACAAGGGTGCGCGAATTTGTCGAGGCGGCTCTCGTAGACCGACCCACCGGGACGCCCCTTGTGCTCCCGCTCACACAGCCCCCTCCCGTTGCGCACAGGTCTCATTCGGTTGTCCGGTCTGGACAAGTGCATCAACCTTGTTGAGCTGAACCTGGCAGGCAACCAGATCTCCAAGTAAGCTCGCCTTCCACTCCAGTAATACTTGCACTGAGCACTCCTCCTCAGTCAGTGATCCCAAGCCCATCTCTACGCGAAACCTTTGAGGCACCTCCTCAGCCCTTGAGGCACCTTCTGATTCTACCTCCTCCCTTTTCGCCCTCTCTACGGCCTGCGGTGCTGACTTCCATCCACAATCAACTGCCCCACTCGCAACCATCACTGCTCCCCGCCGCCTCCTCCTCCTCAGGATCGAAGGCCTGGAAGCCACCTTACAGTTGCGGCGCCTCATCCTCACCTCCAATAAGATATCGGCCATTGAAGGCATCTCCCACCTTAGCCGCCTGGAGGGCTTGTGGCTGCAGGACAACCGATTGGCGTCCCTGGAGTCTCTGGCCCTACCTCAGCTTGCCCAGCTGCCCGCCCTGCGCAGCCTGTACCTGCAGAACCTGGATCGCCTAGCGCCCAACGCTGTATGCCGTACCCCAGGCTATAAGGCGGCAGTGCTGGCGGCGCTGCCCAACCTGACCAACCTTGATGGGGAAAGGTGAGGCCGCCATAGATTTGCTGCCTTCTCCTCCATCTCCTCTCCTTTGACTTTTCCTGGCCCCCTTCACCACTCGCCAACTGAATGGCTAGGTCTCCGGCGGCACTCAACTATGCGGAACTCGCGGCCGAGTACGACGCCTTCCGTGCCAACCCCGTACCACCCAAGCAGTGGGTGGTGCCTGATGTGGCTCCCTGGCTGGCGGGGGTCAGCCAGGAGGTGCCCATGGGGGGCGGTCCGGGGGAGGTGGCGCTGCAGCAGCGACATGCCAAGGTGAGTGGGCCACACAGGGGGTCATGTGGAGGTGAGGAAAGGGCTCTGGGGAGATGCAAGTGGGGTGGGCGGGTGGATGTGAAGAGAGATGAAGGCCGTACAGGTGAGTCTAGTCCTGCGTGTGTATGGGTGGGTAATGGGGGATACAGAGGTGCCTGTTCGTCTGTATGTGAGTAGGCGGTCCGTGGCTTACTGTGTCCTCCACGGCACGGACGGGAGCTTTGGAGGGAGGCGGCAGACGCTAGCTTGGTGCAGCATCGCGTTGGCACTGTTCGATGGAAACAACAAAAGCTGTCACATCATTGAGACAGGCCGTTGCTCCACGCAGCAGGGGGCCCCACGAGATCATTCATGCACGGGCTGCGCACAGGGGAATTCTAATCTGTTGTCGCGGTCGTCTAGGACCTCGCTTTGGCCCCTTCCTCCTCCCTGGGGTGTTCACATCCGTACCTGACTACAGCTGTTGCCGCTGCGCTTTGGGGCGGCCCCCTGTGTATCTGGCCAGGTGGTCAAGGTAATAGACGAGTGTGAAATGCTGGTGCGGGTGCTGGGGGAGGAGATCGCCAAGTTCGGCCGGCAGGCGGAGGCCAGGAAGAGCAGTGCCGTGGCGTCATGATGAATGCACGTGATAAGGAGAGGATGCGTTACATTGCATTAAGGCGGGAGTTACCCACCCATCCACCCGGGCCATAGCGCATCACAGCGCGCATGGCACCTCTCAAACCGAGTGTTAGCTGGTGGTTGGCTGCATGAGGCCGCGGCGGTGTTCCAATGCGGGAGGGAGGGAGGGAGGGAGGGAGCCGTAAAAGGGGCGCAGAGGAGAGTTGTAGCCCGCGGCGTGGATGGCTCGCCTGGACTGCTCTGGACTCTTGCCCTCTCCCAGATCAGCCATGGCCTGTTCTTTCGGTGCTGTGGCCCGCTTGACCGCGCCTCCGATGAACTGCTTCACCAAGCTGCTTGAATGGGTGAACAATCCAGACTAGATAGGACTAGATGGGACCTGAGAGGGCCTCAGCCCGCAAAAACCCTCAGACCCGCCATGATTGAGGTTTTTAATTTGCCAGTGGTGGTGGTGGGCCAGTGGTGGTGGGGTTGCGGAAGCTGGTGCAGTCAGCTGCCTAGTAGTGCCAAAGGATGTCCTGGTGGGTGCGGATGCGGCTGAATGGGCTGCGTGCTGGCTGCTGCGCGCCTCACGCAGCCCTGGATGACACTTGGAGAGCCCATCAGCCAAAACCCCGGTGGTCTTTGTTCAGCGGGCGCCATAACGATTGAGATACAGTGACTGTCGCCTTGAAGATCCTGTGAATGGCGATGGTCGAGGATGCTGCGTGCACGGACGAAGGTGAGGAAAGTCTGTGTGATGATGTGATGAACCTGCAGCAGGTTCCCGGTGGGAGTGCGTCCATGTCCACGCCCTCGTTCTTCGTGATATCTCCCCGTCGAACCTTCCAAGGTAGATTGTGCGGCTCCGAGGGCGAGAAAACCTTCGTGTGTGCCGTGGTCATAGCGTACGGAACTTGCCTGTCCATTAGCCAATGCATGGACGAGAAGCTCAATATCTGTACATAATCTGTACATATTATGTGTTCGTCACCCGGCTGTAGGCTTGGCTTTCCAAGCCCATAACTCTCCGAGCAGACCTAAAAGCAGGGCGGGGACGTTTCCAAGGCAGCGATGCAATTTACAATGCGCCTCTCTCTCTCCCCACACACCACCTCTGGGCCGTCGAGGGCTCACAGCCCGCCACGTGCAGACACGTCGAGTAACGAGACCGAGTAACATAAGCGAACAATGTATCATCTATATCTGGGCTGCCTTAGATATCCACACTCCGCATGATCCACATAGGCAGGCAAACACGTTGCCGCGTCCGTTCAGAACCTGCTACATTCCCACCACATCCCTACGCATCGGGCCCCGCCTTCATGCGCCTCCCCGGCACCTTCAGAGGCTGCGCTAGCAAAACCCAATATGGTCTGGTGACTCTGCAGTCATGTCTGTGCCGTCTGGATGCGCGATTTACGATTTGCGAAGTCACCTCTGCCAAAATCCACCTCCCATATCGATGTAGACTCGGGATGTGGTATATGATCTCGTTCACGCTGTGCCCCCGGCAGGACTTCCTTATGTACCCCCAGGTTGCCCTACCGCTACCGGCAACTCCAACGGCTGGTAGTCCCACAGCCGGCCCAGCAGTGCACCGCGCGCCGCACCCTCCACCACTGGTAGCACTGCATCAACCACCTGCGTGTTTCCCCCAACACCCATCAAGGCAGACGGTAGTGTGGGCAGCATGGACAGGGCAGGCAGTGGGCGGCGTGAAGGAAAGGGGTGGCTCCCGGGAGCAGATCTGACTGGTTTCGTAACCACGCGCAAGCTCCGCATGCCGGGCCATGTCACTGTGTGCTGAATATCTACGAGCGAAGTGCGGGGGGGGGAACATCTCGTGTTTCATGGGGCCCACACGGACTATGCACAGCCTTCGGGTAGGGCAGAGTCGCCAACCAGCTGACGGGAAGCAGGCACCGCCAACGTGAATACCCGCTTTCCATCCAGGTCACAGCATGCCTTAATGTGTACGAGCCTTACGATAAGCACAGCACCGTATGCGGTGCAAGTATCCGGCGGGTTCCCTCGACGGCTGCATCATTCGAAGGAGGTCTCGCAGCTTTTCTGAGAAGCAACGCTAACTGAAATCTCAAGCTTAAAACGCAAGCATGCAACATGCAGCTACATGTTGAGGCCCATCCAATGCGAGGCGGCCAAGCAACGCTCGCCGGCCCTTCCGCGAACTGGTCTGGATTTTAAATCCATTAGCTCCCCCCTGTCCAGCGCGTCTTGATCACAATATCCCTTGCACACCAATGTCCATACCCGCACATACATATAAACACACACACCTGCTGTTGTAGGCACTCCGGTTGCTGGGTGGCGTCCAATCGGAGCCAGTGGCTGTCCTTGAGCGCCGCATATTGCTGGGCCACCTGCTTCGTAGGGCGACAGGAAAGCGGCATAAGAATTGCTGGTGTTACGACCAGGCGGCGCCAAGCACCTCCATGCGCTGTTAGGAGAGGCTTAGGGGGACATTACTACATATTACTGCATCTATGACATATGCTCATATCCCTCTCCCCCTACGTGTAAACTGAGCTGCGAAAAGGAAGGAGACGAAAAAGAAATAAAATGGTAAGCTGGACGTGGGGCAGCCGCTACACTCCTGTTGTAATGGACAGCGGAGTAACAGCCCCGAACCTGTGACTATCCCCAAGCTTGCCTTGCGTTGAAACTCCAGCTTCTCGTAGCGCTCTGCGCCAAAGCCGCCTCTTGCGGCCGCCTCCTCGGCCGTCATGTCCATGAATATTACTAGGTCAGCCGCCGGCAGCCCCACCTCCACCGCTCGGCAGTAGTCCATGGACAGGTGCGGTACGCCCTTGGCTGCGGTGTACGCCACACCGCTGTAGCTGTAACGGTCCACAACCAACGTCGTGTGGCCGGACAGAAGCCGCAGCATCTCCTTTCTGACAGTAAGCGGAGCGATTCCCTAATCAATATTCGTGCAATGTTTAGTTTTGGGTCGTGTCTATGGCATTGGTCGAGGTGCTGGTGGCGCTTAAGGTTGAACAAGGTAAGGGAGATATCCTGTGATGTACGTGGTGGCAGCAGAGTGACAGGTTCCAAGGGAAAGAAGGAGCGTTCAGGAAAGACAACCAACTGGTTCCGGAGGGTCCATGGTGGAACGCTCTCGTGTCACAACGTGGGTGGGAGGAGGGCTGCACTGCGCACATGTTGCCAGGCCTATTTGCGTGCTTTAACGAATGATAAGGCAATTGCGCGTGATACGCCTTCAACCGCCCCCCTTGACAATCCCCGTGGTGCCGCGGGCTGCTCACCGCTTTTCAAAACGATTTGCCGTGAAGAGGAGATGGATGGCAGTGTCGTCGTGGTCAGCCCCGTTGTGCAGGTAATCGTTGATTGTCTGGCCTATCCTTGTCGATCTATCAGGAAAGCACCAGTGCTCCACCTTAACCTGTCCGACAACCGAGGTGAGCGCCGCAGATGCCACCAGAGTTTGCAGCCACGCGGCAAAAAGTGTCGCCACGGTCCAGGAACAAGTCAGGGTTTTCTAACCACCAAGTATAGAACTCACTCCGCGTCTCCTGAGGTGATCCACAAGCAAGTTGCTCTGTGTGCTCTTCCCACAGCGGTCGATGCCCTCAAAAACAATGAAAGCTCCGCGGGAGCGGACCTGTGCACTGACGTCAAGAGCTGAGTAGTTACATTTCATCAGTCGGGTGCTTTGACATGCGCTTTCTCTAAATGGTGCCCGGGATAACAATGGCCAAGTTCTTACAGCGCCCAATGCCGACATCCTCCTTGTCAAGGCCCGCAACTACAGGGTTACAGTATAAGGAAATCATAAGCTTTGATTTGCATTGAAGATGTTAATTTCGCACTCGACATACTTTGCCATTTGGTTCAACAATCGTCGCACGTAAGCGTTACTAAGACGCACGTCAGTTGATTTTCTTTAAATTTGCACGATATGCCGCCGATGTCACTCACACAAAGAGAATTCCAACCGTAATCAAAGATCGTCGCTACCCCATGCGCACGTCATAAACCACACCCGTCTCCTTGCGCCGCCCTTCAGCCACAGTATCGCCATCGCCCCTAGCCCTAAGCCGTTACTCGAGCGGCTTCCGGCAGCACAGCTACCTGCTGCATTTTCTCTGCCTCTCCAATGAACACGTCGGCGACTGCATCCGCCTCCCCGGCGGCCGCCGCGGACTTCTCATCGGGAAAGCTACTCTGTTGACCGCCCGCAGCTGTTACCACCCTGCGCAACGGGCAACCTCATTAGCATAGCTACAGGCGATGTTTGATCCAACACTCATCCCAACATGAATAGCCGTTACCGTGATAACCTCACACGGGTAACTCACGTGGGCAAGTCAATGGGCTTGTAGTCCCACAGCCGCCCCAGCGCACTGCCCGCAAGCGCACGTTGCACCACCGGCTCCGCCACAGCCGCTACCTAAGTTAGAGGAAAGCACTGGAAGCAAAGTTAGTGTGGATGAGTTGGTGGGGCCTTGTTACTGCGTATCTGCATGGCTGTAGCTTGGGAAGTCTGTTTGCCGTAAAACAAACTCGTGCGGGGTTGACCATTAAACCTGGGAGCTGGCGGACCAGCGACGGACAGACAGAGCAGCTTGATTATGATAATGTTGCAACGAGGGACTTTGCTGACAGACTGACCGCCCGGCTGACCTTTTGGTGGATGTCGTCAATGGTGCCAGATGCGTCAATGACAGCCCATCGCTCATCCCGCAGCGCCTCGAAGGCCTTCATTACCTGCAGCAGCAGCAGCAGCGCCGCAGCCACAGCAATCATGTGCTACATGCCACGGCTAATGAATGAAAAGCCACGACATGCACAGCACTTAGTAGCACGTCTCTTAAGACTGGCCAATATGGTAGCGGGCGCGCCAAGGCTATGAGCACTTAAGTGCACACATCCTATTGTCCCCCAGTGCGGCCACACCTCCATGAACTAGCTGACACTCGGGCGCCTTACCTTCTGTTGGAAATCCACCTTCTCGTACCTCTCTTGACCGTACCCTCCTCGCGCCGCTGTCGCTTCGGCCGTCATGTCCATGAAAATCACCAGATCAGCCGCCGGCAGGCCCACCTCCACCGCTCGGCAGTAGTCCATGGACAGGTGCGGTACGCCCTTGGCTGCGGTGTACGCCACACCGCTGTAGCTGTAACGGTCCACAACCAACGTCGTGCGGCCGGACAGAAGCCGCAGCATCTCTTCCCTTTGGACGGCGGCGTACAGGGAAAGCTTATTCAAACCAGACCTCTATGCTGTGTGCGGGCGTTGCGGGGTGTGCCAAGCTCAGAGCACGCCACACATATTCTCCGCATGAATCCGCAGGGGAGCCCTGCCAATACAATACGCCGCTGACACTAGTGTCAAGTCTTGAAGGATACAAGAAGAGCCGTCCTTGAGCGCGCTTTTCGACGGGCCCGCTTAGCGACAGACCCGCAGTGTAACGCTCTTCCTTAAGTCACTTCTTAGCCATGCTATGGGCCTGCCGCCTGCTCCTGCGATTTTCAGTAACTTACCACATGGCCCTCGTCGTCAACTCCTTCAAGCTACCCACAACCGGGATGCGGAACAAGCCCCTCCGTGATAAGGCCCTTCCCAACACGATGACTGCCCCATCGGCAAACGGCAGCTGGTCCCTCAGGATAGTGGTTTCCCTCTCCCCACCTTTTCTCCATTCGGTTGGCGGCAAAGAGCAGGTGGGCGACTGCATCGTCCATGTGCGACTGCTCCACCAGGTAGGCGTTGATGGCCTGGCCAATGGAGGTGGAGCGATCTGGAAAGCGCCACATCACCGCGTCCACCTGGCAGGGCGGCCATTCATCGGGCGTGAACACAGGATGGTGGGGACTAAACACACGGGACGAATCCTCCAGTCCCACTGTCCCAGCCACAGCCGGCTCCCTGGGCTCCAAATGAGCTAAACCCGTGTAAGCAGCAGTCGGACGCTATGTGGAAAGGCAGCCAGGCAATTCAGTCTGCTTGGATGTGTCGGCCCAATGAAGAAGCTCGATGACGTACATAGGGGAAAACAGGAGCTTGTGGCTTTTGGACACGGCAGCATGTGCTCACAGGTAACACGCCGCGGGTGCCAGAGGATCATTGTACGGTTAAAGTTATGAGCTTACCCCTTGGCTCCTTAGCCGCTCCACGAGCTTTCTGCATTGTGTTGTTTTGCCACACCTGTCACCACCCTCAAATACAATGAGGGCGCCCCGCGAGCTTTGCCCATAGCTAACTTCAGAGGTCATACTGTTCGAAGTACAAAATGAATTCGCGATGCACCACGGAATGTAGAACAGACCAATAAAAGGTTTCTTCAAATGTTAGTTACGGAGCATGGAAATCGGGACTCTAGCATAGGTTGTAGACGTTACAGCAAACGTAATGAATTTGCAAGCGTACGAGGTTCCTGCGGTTTCAACATTAGCGGTCGGGTAGCCTTGCGCCTATGCGCGCCACCTGTCGGCTTCCTAGCTCCTGGATTCGGAAGTCCATCGCAAGGCCCTCATGGCGCCGCCGAAAGCATTTAATAATCCACTTCTTTGTTTTGTTATTTATTCCCTCCACTGCGGTACTACATGTAAAGCTGAGCAGCTGGTTATGCAGCATCTTTCCCAGACTACTTCGCCGGCATCGACAAGTTCTGTCCTGGTAAGTGAGATGCAACTGCTCTATAGAGCCTAGGAATGTGGTCCTGTGATGGCAGTTTAATCTTTGAGACCTTACGCTGCCTAACGGCGGTGATGCTGACAAATAGCTTTGCTGAGGACCGACTTTGACAACTCAGTCTTTCCTCCGTGCGGGCCGCCCATTTGTCATGGCGCTGTACCGCCCCTTACCAACTGAGGATAGTAATGCTCTGCTGTCCTAACTTTCTGTGCAAGAATGCGCGGGCTTGGGCACTGGCGCGATATAGCATGAGCCTCTAGTCATACCTTGACCATGAGCAGCAGTGCCTGCGAACTAATACATTGTTGAGAGGATGACGAACCAATCTGTATCCAACGCTTGATCAGATTATACATGATCGAAGTACACAGACGCTGCGTTCTTTCCGACTCTGCCAATGTTTCTGTGCATGTGTCTTCATGTTATAAGGCCGCATGTGGTTGATGATCTTATTTAACCATATCTTAGGACACCTTCATAGGGGGTACAGCCACTCCCAATGAGAGTAACTATGGTTCTGACACAACGCGGCCGCAAACCATGGCATGTGGCATAATTATCAGCGCACGGTTCAACACTGTGCCATATGTTCGTGAAGGATGTTACAAAACTTTCGTTCTACCGAGAAGGGTTGGCTCAGCCACCCTGCGTGGAAACAATTGGAGACCTGAACTGACACGATTCGACCTACACTATCCCTGCATACATCTACTTCTGTATTACCATGGCATGTGGCATAATTATCAGCGCACGGTTCAACACTGTGCCATATGTTCGTGAAGGATGTTACAAAACTTTCGTTCTACCGAGAAGGGTTGGCTTAGCCACCCTGCGTGGAAACAATTGGAGACCTGAACTGACACGATTCGACCTACACTATCCCTGCATACATCTACATCGGTTCTTCCTCTTCGACCTGCTGCTGATCGTTGGTTAATGCTACCCCTGCAGTGACTTGCCACCTAGCGTGTGCTCATCGGCTTCGACACGAAGATCTACCCAGTGTCTGTCCTGCGAGCGCGGAGCCCAGTTCTATGGCAACTTCTGTCAGTTTCGGCCAGTCTCCTGGGAAGACCAATTTCGTCCATGTTGATGTGCATCCTGGCGGCATTGCATTGGTTACCGTAGCCAAGGAGCCGGTGAACTCCATGGATCTGGCGATGTGGGCGCGTCTCGACCAGGTCCTGATGGAGCTCGAGACGAATCCCGCCGTCAACGCTGTGATATTCGCTTCGGGCCTAAAGCGTGATGTGTTCTCTGCCGGCAATGATTTGATGGAACTGTACGCACCCAAGACGACGTCTGAGCGCTACGCAAGATTTTGGACCACACAGAATGCCTTTCTCGTGCGTTTATATCGATCCCGGCTTGTAACGATAGCTGCGATTCGCGGTGCATGTCCTGCAGGTGGATGTGCCATATCCTTGTGCAGCGACGTGCGTCTCATAACACCTGAAGGCGTGATGGGCTTAAACGAGGTGCAGCTGGGCATTCCAGTCCCCAAGTTTTGGGGTCTTTTGATGGGCCGGGTGATCGGGCCCAAGGTCGCGGAGAGCGTGTTACTGTCTGGGAGGATGGTGCCCGCGGCTGAGGCGAAGCAGTTAGGTCTCGTGGATAGTGTCGTGCCGGCTGATAGGTTGATCGAGGATGCACTCGTCGCCGCACGCCAAGCATGCAAAGCGCCTTCTGCCGCACGTGCGGCAACAAAGGCGTTGCTCCGAGAGGAATTCTGCAAGGCGTGGGAAGGTTTTTATCCCACGGAGCATGAATATGGTTGGAAGTATTTGAGCAGTCCCTCCACGATTGCTGTTCTGGAGGGTGCGATGAAACGCCTTTCATCTAAAGCCGCTCCTAAGCAGGAGGTGGCCTCAAAACTCTAGTCTTGTGCTGTACTTTGTGCTTATGTACGCTGTATTTTTTTCAACTGCAGTGACTTGTATAATAATATGCCCGTCAAATTTCTGGGGATTTTTGCTGTGTCAATATTATAATTGACATTTTTTTCCTTGGCTGCATTATGAACATCTCAGATGCAAGTCCAAATCATTGAGCTGAGCTAATTGGTCGGCTCGTTACGCGTACTCGTTTGATCGTCATCGTTATATGAAAGTAGCATTCTGCCTCTAATGTTGTTGCGGGAATTGTGGGAAGTAGACACACGTTGTCAATATATAAACTTCTGGTGAATTACCGTTATACGGGTACCAATGTAACATGACTGCAAAGCCTACTCAATGAATGTAACAAGGGATAGAGTATACATATTAACACTATTGAGCTTCGTTACACAAGATTTTAGAAACACCTCAGTACATCGGAAGGTACTTGGAAAAACGTTTAGATTTCTACAAACCACACTACGAAATTCATCAAACCATACCGTAAGTCGACACTTATCCTACGTATTAATTACCTTGGCTACGTTCAGTATGAAGGGCCTCCGCCCGTGTATGACGGGTTGCCAGAATGTGGATAGGGGGGTGCAGATGCCTGCAACTGGTACGCAGGATATGGTAACGCAGCAGCGGCACCAAGCTGCTGCGGCTGATAGTGCATCTGGTATGGCATCTGCCCTTGCTGTGGATGCAGTTGCTGCATGTGAGGAGGGTTGCTCGGCTGCTGGGGCTGTGGCTGAGACGCATATGGTATGGACGCTGGACCTGTCATAGGAGCATACATAGGGTTGGGCGTGGCGCCCGGGCGCCCGGGCGTGGCGCCCTGTGGCAGCATTGCTGTCGCAACGCCACTGTACGTGGCCGGTGGAGGCTCCGCCAAGGACTGCGGGTTAGGTGCCTCCTGGGTCACCTGCCCGGACGGTAACAAAGGTGAAGGACCCGACACCGGCGGGCTTGCATGGAGACCGCCAGACGTCACCATTGCTGTGCCCACTGGCGGTATCGCTGGGTAACTCCCTGGTGCCGGAACAGCCGTCGGACCCCCTGCCGGCTGCGGTGGATGCACCAGCGGCAACCCACGCAACTGCTGTTGCTGCTGCTGCTGTTGCTGCTGGTCAATGTCACTCTGTAGCCCGAACTCTTGTTGGCTGCTGTTCTGCGGCACCGAGCCCTGTGGTGGATACGGCACCGAACCCTGTGGTGGGTACGGCACCGAACCCTGTGGCGGGTACGGCACCGAACCCTGTGGCGGGTACGGCACCGAGCCTTGTGACGGGTACGGCATCGAGCCCTGTGGCGGGTATGGCACCGAACCCTGTGGCGGGTACGGCACCGAGCCCTGTGGCGAGTACGGCATCGAACCCTGTGGTGGGTACGGCATCGAACCCTGTGGTGGGTACGGCACCGAGCCCTGTGGTGGGTACGGCACTGAACCCTGTGGTGAGTACGGCACTGAACCCTGTGGTGAGTACGGCACTGAACCCTGTGGCAGAGCTGATGCCTGCGGCGGTGCAGGTATAGACGGGGCCAATGTCTTCAGTGAGGCCGGCTGCTGCCCCGGCTGCTGACCCCGTTGCGCACTCGACGTTGATCCCTGCTGCACCGCCTCCACCGGCAACGCCGCGTCCAGCCCCACCCCCGCTGCCACGAGCTCCTCCTGGAATTTCTGCATCAGCGGTTGTGGCAGCGGCGGCGCCACCGGAAGAGGCACAGCGCTGAACGAGCCCGGCGGCAACTCCAGCACTGGTACGTCAATGTCGTACGTAAACGGCCGCACCTCTTTGTAGAGAGGATGCTCCACGCGCAACTGGAACCAAAGCGAGCCATCCGGTGGACCGCGCGACACCCCGCCAGCCATTGCGGCAGTGGTGGCGGCGGCGCCTTGCAGCAGCGGCCGCTCGTGGATGTCACACCAGTTGCGTGACGCCTTGAGCAGGCTGTTGTTTTCAAATATGCCGCGCATCTTCTCCCGGGTCATCTGCACCGGGGAGCACCGGAAGGCCAGCCAGCCTGATTCATGTTGTGTGAGCTCCCCGCTGTACTCTGCTGCTCTCAACCTGGGCTCCCAAAACCGAACCGAGACACAGCGGTAGCTATATGCGGCCCAAACCCCCGAACCGACCAAACGCTAATGCGCCCCGAGCTCCCAGACTCGCCGAGCCCCACTACCCCAAATCGCGCACGCAAGGGACCACACCCTAGGTAGCCACCTACCGCGTCAAGCATCTTGGATTTGTTGCTGGCTGTGAGCGTCTTGATGACCGCATCCGGGGGTGGCACGTTGCCGATGGCGGAGCTAATGATCTGGACCATGTGTCTGAGGTGGGGAGGGCAGGGGCCATGGCGGAACCGGGGTTGCAAAGGGAACATTCCAGGTCTCTCCGCGACCGCACGCCCCTGTCGTCAGGCAAGGCTACTGGGCCCCATGCTTCTCCGCCCTTCTCTCCCCGCTGCCCCTCCTACCGGTGGTCGGTCTTGAGGTTGATCTTGGGCATGGTCTGGAAGGCCGCCACCCCCGCACAGTGCACATCGCCGGAGAGGATGCTGAAACGAAAGCCGCGAGCCTGTTCCCGGGGATGGAGTGGAGCGGAGCGGTGAGAAAACCAACGGCTCGGTTCAGGACGGTATGCGTCCGTAATAGTGCATGCCACTTGGGTGGCGGCACAAGAGACAGGACAGACCCGGAATAGCAGCACTCCTTCCCTTCCCCCTCGCGCCCCATCCAGACCTGCGCGCCTGAGCCTGCGCGCCTGTCCCCCCACCCGAGCCTGCGCGCCTGTCCAATTGTTTGAGTTGGGGTTTTTTCACTACCGCCCAACCCCCCTCTAGCCTTCCGTACCTTGGCCAGGTCCTGCATCATCCTCACGAAGCAGTACTTCTCCATCTCGTGGCTCCGAGCTGACCAGTGATCCAACAGGTCGTCAAGCAGCTCAGGCTCACCTGCACGAGATTGGAGGCCCGGGCGGAGGGGAGGGAGGGGATGAGAGAGTGCCGGGGTTGCGGTAATGGTGATGTGCGCAGGAGAAGGGCAGGGCGACTGTGGGGAGCCACTGCTACTGCTACTGCTACTGCTGCCGCATTGGTTAGGGCAGAGTCGCGATCCCGCGGACATAGGTCCGAGCGATGTGGTCGTAGCTGCTGCAGGGCGCAAGAAACGACCCGCGGGTCGGCTCGACTCACCGAAGTGGCTGTAAATCTGGCTAGACAGTCCCGTCTTCTGAAGGAAGGCCGTCAGCGCGCTCACCATTAGGCCCGTGCCGGCCAGCGCCACTGCCGGGCGGGAGGAGCGGGGCGTGCGAGATGTGCGGAACGGCTTTGGGTCGGGGGAAGATGAGTTGCCGCACGTTGTGGCGCTGTGCCGGCGATAGCTCAGGCAATGAGGGGAAGAATGCCAAGTGCCATCCAAGCCCTCCCCATGCCCAACTTCTCTCTCTGTCGACAGCCCCGTCCGGCCCTCTCCCCCTTTCCCCTGCTACTTCCGTCATATCCCCTGACCCCCAGCAACGTTTCCTGCCCCAATCAACCGGGCCCCCAGCACCCAACTCATGGCCTCCTCAATCCCCGGCACGGTGGGGTACACCAGCGGCACGGTGGCCACCGCCACCACGTGGCGCACGCCGGCAGGCAGCTTGACGACCTGAGGGGGGAACGGGGGAATGAACCAGGGGGATGACAGGAGTGGCGAGGTATCCGGAGGGGCGGGGTGTAACCCGACAGCGAGACGAGAGCCATGGACATACAGCTTCGCGTTCAGACGTCATCGATATTCGCTCTAAGCGAGCACCCACGCAGACACCCACCCGCACAAAGTCCTCCAGAGGCAAGATAGTCACCCACCCACACACCTGGTCGGCGAAGGCAGCCCAGGAGGCTGGTCGGATGATCTGTTCGCGTGTTCGCTCACCCCGGCTGTCCAGCCCCACCACAGCGGTGGTGTTGCCCAGCATCATCGTCCAGGACAGACCGGTCAGGCCCCAGCCCTGCGCAACAGCCACCAGGTGGAGAGCAGTTATGGGAGGTGGAAATGGAACGGCGTAGCATTCTGGTTCAGAGGGGAGCATGAAGAGATCGGGGCCTTGGAAAAGGGAGGGACAGCTGCGCGGCGGAAAGCGGAAAGAAGCGGGAGCGCTACAGCTAAGGCACTCGACCGTCGCGGCCGCACCTTGTTGAGTTCGCGGTAGTTGTTTTCGGCCGCATGGCACTGGAACAGCAGGTAGAACTTGCGGGCCACAAAGTAAACTCCCGCGAACACGGAGCACTTTTGCAGCTCGGGGGGGTAGGAGCCCCAGCCGTCAAATATGTCATGATCGTCCCAGGTCATCACCTGACAGGGGCAGGAGAGGGCAGGAGAAGGGGGCGGGGGCAAGAGGAGGAAGAGGAAACGTGCAGCTGTCAGGGGGCACAGTGGCTAAGAACAGGTTCCAGAACAAGCCGATGAATAGAAATGTGCTTCAGTGCAACAGCATGCGAGCAACCGGTGTTCGCTGTGTGTGACAAAAACAAGGCTTGCGCGATGCTGATGTGCGCGTGTCCCATTCTTCTACTTTTAGGGCTTCATTTGCTGCAATCACAAAGCAACCACGAAACGCGGTTACGAGCAGCAGCCAGAAGCAACCACGGCGCCTGCACACCTGCGGTATGCTCGCCAGCGCATCGCGGAACACCTCCTTGCCGAAGTGTGTGGTGTAGTTGCGGAAGTAAAAGTCAAACACCTCGTTGACCATGTCCTGACTGAACGGGTGCGCGTTGCGGCTGGGCTTGTCCTGGATGCTTAGCCACTGCGTCCGACAGCGAGCGGGAGAATCCCCAACCACCAAGTTCCAACCATCAACCGTCAGTGCGATCCGAAAAATCGAGGCATGAGGACAGGACAGGACAGGACAGTGGCTTGCATGGCAGGGGATCACCGGATGGGCGATATCAGGTCCAAGCATGCGCGTACCGCATGTGCACGCATGTGGACATACAGCATACATTACATACATATAGATGTGTATTCCAGGTGCCAGAACGCATTGATGCGCTCGCACACACATGAGCCTATACGCACCTTCACCAGGCTGTCGACCTTCCACACGTCTACGAAAAGAACAGAGGGCCGGGGAGCGGGAGGGAGGGCTCGGGTTATGCGGGTTATAAGAGAACAGAAGCAGCACGCTGGAGGAGCCATTCTTCTCACAGTCCTTCTCCGCAGTCCACGGCCGTTACTGCAGCTAAACTGCCGGTCCGACAAACTGACTGGTGCTACTGGGCAGGCAGGGGAGTGGTCGCCCTGGTCGCCTGGCGCTGTCCGGGCCATGGTATATACGGCGGTATGCCCCACTACATCCCGATAAGGGCCTTGATCGGACAGTCCAGTGTTTGAGTTATCATTAAGCGCACATCACCCACCAACCCGTGATCTGTAACCCACCATTTACTCACAGGCCCCCACCCGGGGCCCCACTACAGCTCCACTCGCGGCCCCTCCTTGGTCCCCAGGAGCTCCACCCCAACGTACCGTCGCAGTAGAGCTGATCTCCTCCCCCAAACATGACGTGAAGCGGGTCCCTGGTGTGCACGTGCATGACGTCCCGCCACATGGGCTGGATGCCGCCGTTGAGGAGCTCGTCGTTGTGGTCGTGAAAGCCGTTGCAGCTGTAGAAGCCCCAGTGCCACTTCTGACTTGCTGAGGGCAGGTGGAAGCAGTTGCGCGGGTGCGGGGTGAACCAGTGGTCCTCGCTGCACACCTCGAAGTACTCCACCACTGTAGGGTCGTTCCCCAGCTGGAAGGCCATGTCCCACCGCCAGAAGTTGTAGCCGGCGTACGACCACAGCAGCAGGGGGTTGCGAATCTCCTCGCTGCTGCCCTGCCGGCGCGTGTCGCTGTGGGCAGGTCCGGGCGAGGGGGGGCTGAGGTACATGTACAGAAGAACTACGGGGCCATCTGCCGATATGCGATACGTCCAAAGCTCACCAAGGGCCCCCCCCCCTTCGCGCCACCAAGGCGCCGTCATGTGAACATCATGCACCTCGCCCAAGGTGTGTTCAGGGCCCCGAGAAAGGAGAACTCGCCGCGATCTTGTGAAGGGATGGAGCAGTCGAACGGCACTAGGGGGGACAATCAACGTACAGTCCGCAGCCACGGGTTTCTGGTGATTGCGCAACCCCCCAACTCTAACCCTGAAGTGCCCTCCTGGGAACTGGAGGACCCTCAATACTCTGCCTCTCTCCCCTGCTCCCGTGCCTTACCGGTACTTGAGTGTGGGCGGATAGCGACTTCGCGACTGGTGTATGACCATCATGACGGATGCCGAGTAGATCCGGGTAACGGGGTCGTAGCCGCCGTACCGAAGGTACGGACCGTACTTATCCTCCAGGGGTGCAGGGCCGCTGAACTGGGGGTCCACCGCGGGCGCCTTCTACACGAGCAAACGTATTCATGTAAAAAATCTCAAAGTAAGTCTACTCCAGGACGATTAACCCCGGCTGGTGTATTTAAGGGTCAGCAATTGGTTGGGAGTCTCTACTGGCCACCCGTATCTTGTTCTCGCAGGTATACGCCTGCGGCCCCTGTCCGTGCTGCCAGTCTCCTGAAACCGTCCCTCTCAGGCACCCTCTCAAGCGCATATCTCGGGTTGCGCATTTCACCCTGGCACAGGGCCGCTGACCAGCCGGGGCAGGTCTCGGACCCGACTGAGCTAATCAAGCTGCACTACCTAACAAGCTAATGGATTCGAACCTGCAACAACAAATCCTCATCCTTAAAAAGTGGGAGCTCCATCGATATAATTATTACATGTATAACATGTGTTGCGCCTACCACTCAGACGCAAGCTGTGCGGTGCGCATTGCGCACGGAGGCGGCGACTTGGTCTGCCATCTCTAGGCGGAACAGAGGTTTCCTCCGATCCAATTGCTCCCCTAAACCCCTCCGGTTTCTCGCATTTAACACACATTTCGCAGCACGACATGGCTTTCACGGTCTTTCCTCCCTCCCTCCCTCCCTACCGCTGCCGCCCCGGGTGACGATGCGGACCTCCCCCTGCTGCTGCTACTTGGCACCGTGTTGAGGCTGCCGAACTTGCTGGGACCCAGCGGACTGGACTGCAGTCGGGCCACCTCGTCGGCGGGTGGAGGGAGCCGGGAGCATAGACCCCCAGGCGGGGGAATCACAGGCACTACCGGGGCGCAAAGGGGTGGGTGGCAGGGTGCGGGAAGCGCGGGGAGTTCACAGCGGAAAACAACAGGACTAGAAACGGGGATGCATTTGGGGTTCTGGCTGCTCATGCCGTATTCAAATTGTATGTGGTCTGTTAACTCGTAGCTAGCGAACGTGGCGTATTTATAATAGCCTGGGGGAAGACCAAATCCCAGAACCCCCCGGATACGTGAGCCCGCCCTCCACTGGCGACCCCCCGAGCCCCCAGAAAGGTCCTTTCAAGCCTCGGTCGCCTCGGTCCGACATTGCCTCACCTCCGCCTGGTAGGCCCCCCACCATGCCCCCTCCCAGTTGCGGCGGCGCCTGTCCGACCGAGGATTCGGGGACAGGGGGGTAGATACCGGGTCGCTGAGGCTGTGCGGAGGCCCCCTGAACCAACTGCAACGACTCCAAGGCCTGTTGGGCCTCGTTGACCTGCTGCTGCTGAAGCTGCTGCTGCTCCAACGTGGCACTGCCTCGGCTGCCGAATATTCCCAGGATGCTCTGGCGCTCTGGCGAGGCCTGACCCGCGCCGGCGGGGGGTGAGGTGGCGCTGTTAGCGGGCTGCAGAGTGGGTGAGATGACACCGGGTTGCTGCTGCTGCGGAGGGGAGGTGACATTGGCGTCTGCAAGGAGGAGAAGGGGAAGCGAAGGGGGGTTAGGTAGGCGGCAGGTGTTAGGTGCTAAGGGGGGGGGGAGCAGTTCCTGCCATCCAGCCGTGGGGGAAGGTGGGGCCATCCCTGCGGTGGGGTCATCCGTAGTGCCCACCGGGAGCGACTGCATGGGTGTCGGGATGACCTGCTTTGCCCAAGGCAGCAGCGGTCACGGCGGGCGACCATGGCGGCCTAATCTTAGCCACAGCGCAGGGTCATCATGAATACATGACAATTGGACGGTCGGTGCCTTAACCTTACACCATACTAAATGCATTGAAGCTGAAGCGAACGAAATGCGTCGGACTACCAGAATGTCCCCCATGTCAATATCTTACCAGTACCCCCCGGGGACCTGGATGACAGGGTTGGGAGTCACTATCGGTCAACAGTTGTGTCACCATTCGATGGTCAACCAACCCTCCCTCAGGCACCCTCTCAAGCGCATATCTCGGGCTGTGCATTTCACCCTGGCACAGGGCCGCTGACCAGCCGGGGGTTGTCCAAGCTTCACTCCATAAATTACTGGCGTGCCGACACGGATTCGGAATCTGCAACCTTGCAACTACCAATCCTCATCCTTAAGGATTGTCTATTCCGGCGACAGAATGTCCTTCCAGTCACACACACAAACGCACGCCTTTGAGGTCCATTCCATGCAGGCCCCTTGGACTGCCTGGCTTCAATTGAGGGCTCGGGCTCCTTGCATAATTGTATGCAGTTGTTCCTTGGCTAACGAGTTTTTGATCCTCAACCCCCCTCTCAATCTCCCCCTTGCCATGTGCAACGGCTCCTCCAGCTTCCAAAGAACCTTGCCCACCTGATGGCTGCTTCCGTGCAAAGATGCGCATTAAACCCTTCATTGGGGAGGCGGCGGCCCCAGCCGGAACCGTTTGCTGGTGTTGCAGCTGCTGGTGCTCAGGGGGCGCAGTCAGCGCAGTCACAGGCCCTGCTGCCGCCTGTTGAGGTGTTGGTAGCGCGAGCTGCGACTGCATATCTGCAGGTGGCGACTGCTGGAACTGTTGAGGATATTGTTGCGGCGGAACCATCTGCTGCGGCGGGGGCATCTGCTGCAGCTGGGGTTGGTATGACAGAGCCTGGCCCAGCTGCCCCGAGCTGGGCGGGGATGGGTACCCGCCAGGACTGCTCACACCAGCGTAAGAATTAGAAGGGCCTGCGCCTCCTATTGACTGTTGCGGTAACATTACTGAGCTGCCGGGAGGCGTGTTTACTGTCAATTTCGCCTCTGCACGTTCAGTTCGAGCACGATGGATCGTAGGCCAAAATTAGTAAATGTAGCACCATAAGTGATCCCTGCTCCACCTCTGTTTTGGGTGAGGAGCTTTAGGCACACTGATTGCTTAGGTCCGTAACCGCTATCGCGTCGCTGCCCGGAGCCTATCCTTTTATTGTGGATTTGAGATCAAAAAAAGTCCATATGGACAGTAATAACCGCAAGCTTAAGTTACAAACGCGCATTCGGCAGTGTGTGGAATAGGTTTGTCACTTGGGAACCGTAATAAGATGACCCACACATAAAACAGGTAGACAATACCGTATTCATTCACGAAAATACATTTGCTATGCCGTATACATGCTTTCCCTGTCTCTTATGCATGCCTTCCATGGCAAGGCGCAAGGCCTCCCTACGCAGGAATGGGGATGGAGGGGTCACGGGAAAAGAGCTTTTCGGACCAATACACATTCGAGATAATCTTTTTCTTATTTTTCACATTTTTTACAGCTCAGCTTCCCTGTTATGAGTGCCTGTCCATTTGGAAGCGACGTTGCAAGCTTAAAGGTCAAGAGCGATTATACGCTGTTCCAAAGAGGGTAATCAACATCTTCCACTATGCTAGGCGCGAGTTTCTCCAGTCGTACGATGATTCAAAAGTTTGCGTGCCATGCTTAGATTTGCGTTTGCTGTACAATGTCGTGACCTTGAGCGGGTACAAAATGTTGCCGCGCAGTCAGTGCTGGTATCAAAGCTTTACACGAAACTTTCATTTACTGATATATAAGCTCGTTGGGACGCAGGTCATTACGCCTCGCGAACCCAGCCGGTAGAACTTCTGTTATAAGCCCTTCGTTTTCAAGTCTCCTAAGCCTATCTTCCAACCATGCGTGAGGTCATCTCCATCCACATCGGCCAGGCCGGCATCCAGGTGAGGCGGTAAAGAAGCCTTCACAAAGACGCGACGCGTCCCTTCGTTGGCTGAGCGGTTTACCACTGGTTGCCTCGTTTACCACTGTTAATCAAGTCTATTCGGTACATTTACTTAGGGGAGTGTCCCTGCCTTCATGTAACTTTATAGCATTCAACCGAGAGATCTGCTGCTAAGCATATGCCGCTCACTTCTGCGGCTTGGCTTTGTACGCAGGTGGGCAATGCCTGCTGGGAGCTTTACTGCCTTGAGCACGGCATCCAGCCGGATGGCCAGATGCCTTCGGACAAGACGATTGGCGGTGGCGACGATGCCTTCAACACTTTCTTCTCTGAGACCGGTGCTGGCAAGCATGTTCCACGCTGCATTTTCCTGGACCTTGAGCCAACTGTTGTGGACGAGGTCCGCACTGGTACTTATCGCCAGCTGTTCCATCCCGGTAAGCAGAGCGCGCACCCATATGTGCCTTGCATGTAATGAGTTTCATCATCTGTTTTTCCCTGTTCACTGCACCTCACGGACATGCATGATGTACTACCCATGTTGTGCGAACAGAGCAACTGATATCTGGCAAGGAGGATGCCGCCAACAACTTCGCGCGCGGCCACTACACCATTGGCAAGGAAATTGTGGATCTGGCCCTGGACCGCATCCGCAAGCTGGCGGACAACTGTACCGGTCTTCAGGGCTTCCTCGTATTCAATGCCGTGGGTGGTGGCACCGGCTCTGGCCTTGGCTCCCTGCTGCTGGAGCGCCTGTCCGTCGACTACGGCAAGAAGTCCAAGCTCGGCTTCACCGTGTACCCGTCGCCCCAAGTGTCGACGGCTGTCGTTGAGCCGTACAACTCCGTGCTTTCAACTCACTCGCTGCTGGAGCACACGGATGTTGCCGTCATGCTTGACAATGAGGCCATCTATGGTGAGAGCGCCGCTTGTATAGAAATGTGCACATCTCAATTGGTGGCTCACTATATGCTTGAATCAGACCATTCAATCACACGTAGCGTCAAATAACAACTTACTCTTATTTCGTCCGTCTGCAGATATCTGCCGTCGCAGCCTAGACATCGAGCGCCCGACCTACACCAACCTGAACCGTCTGATTGCTCAGGTCATCAGTTCGCTGACGGCTTCTCTGCGCTTCGATGGTGCCCTTAACGTCGATGTCACTGAGTTCCAGACCAACTTGGTGCCCTACCCTCGCATTCACTTTATGCTCAGCTCGTACGCTCCTATCATTTCCGCCGAGAAGGCTTACCATGAGCAGCTCTCGGTTGCTGAGATTACCAACGCTGCGTTTGAGCCAGCATCTATGATGGTGAAGTGCGACCCACGCCACGGCAAGTACATGGCCTGCTGTCTGATGTACCGTGGCGACGTGGTGCCCAAGGATGTGAACGCCGCTGTGGCCACAATCAAGACGAAGCGCACTATCCAATTCGTGGACTGGTGCCCAACCGGCTTCAAGTGCGGTATCAACTACCAGCCGCCTACCGTTGTGCCGGGTGGTGATCTGGCCAAAGTGCAGCGCGCAGTGTGCATGATTTCAAATAGCACTGCCATCGGCGAGATCTTCAGTCGCCTCGACCACAAGTTTGATTTGATGTACGCCAAGCGTGCCTTCGTGCACTGGTACGTCGGTGAGGGTATGGAGGAGGGTGAGTTCTCCGAGGCCCGCGAGGATTTGGCTGCTCTTGAGAAGGACTTCGAGGAGGTCGGCGCCGAGTCCGCCGAGGGTGCTGGTGAGGGCGAGGGCGAGGAGTACTAGAAGATGACTGGGCCTCGTACTTGAAACAAACTGTGTAACAATATGAGCTAATGAGTTTACGTCTCATTTGTTAAATGACCCTGCAGGAAGCCAGTACAGATAACTAGCTTCGTGTGTTAGCAGTCCTATTTCAGCTGCGAAATGTTTAGAAAAGCTCAACGCGAGAGTCATTTCATCGCAGCAATGCTAGCGCCTGCCAGCTTTGCAATAGAATAACTATGTGGTGGTGTTAAATAGGGAATAGCAGAGGCGGTGTAGGTATAACCCCGAAGGAAGTTAGGGAACAGGACTAGCATCAATTGCCTTGCCTAACAACTCGCTCAATTGCAGTGGTGCCACTCCCGTTGGTACAGATATCCTACACTGAAGGCGGCATGTGTTGGACTTAGCAGTGTATTAAGCTATTTAGGTCATTACGGTGGAATTTTAAGGCATCTCATTTCGTTTTTCGCTACCTGCCGTGTTGCGTTACAGCCGCCAACCGCCAGCGCCAACCGCCAGCGCAACTTGGTAACAAAACAACCCGGCTGCGAAACCCCGTCCCAACACCAACCCATTGAGAAGTTACACTAGTGGCCGATAGTAATGACAATTATAGTAATGATAGTAATGACTGTGTTGCACCGTTAACGAATACTAGAACCTAAAGTGCCCCGACACGAGCCGAAGAACCACACGGGCGACCCACCCGAGGCCAGCAGCGACAAAACCAGGGACCGCTACATTGTGGCAACCCCCGGGATTGCTCTGGGTGGGTAGGGGTTACGACGAGGCACAGACAATCAAGTAATGGATGGGTCTAGCGGCCGAACAAGCGGGCATGAAGGAGTTACTTTCCCGCGATCAGCGAACCGCAAGCTTATGCAGTTTAGGCTTTACTGTTGGGCATTGGACGGCGTTATATACCTAGGGAGGAAAGTATGCCCCTGTTGCGGCACTGATAGCCATATTGAAGATAAGCACTTTTGAAAAATATGCCCCGTCTACGTTGGTTTGCCTCAGCTGACACCGCGGGGGACAGATAAAGCCTACTTGTACTCCCTCGAAGCGTGGGAAACCCATATCAGATCTGATATTTTTCGTACATCGGACAGTCCGGCAAAAAGTGCTTATCTTCAATATGGCTATCAGTGCCGCAACAGGGGCATACTTTCCTCCCTAGGTATATAACGCCGTCCAATGCCCAACAGTAAAGTCTAAACTGCATAAGCTTGCGGTTCGCTGAACGCGGGAGAGTAACTCCTTCATGCCCGCTTGTTCGGCCGCTAGACCCATCCATTACTTGATTGTCTGTGCCTCGTCGTAACCCCTACCCACCCAGAGCAATCCCGGGGGTTGCCACAATGTAGCGGTCCCTGGTTTTGTCGCTGCTGGCCTCGGGTGGGTCGCCCGTGTGGTTCTTCGGCTCGTGTCGGGGCACTTGAGGTCCTAGTATTCGTTAACGGTGCAACACAGTCATTACTATCATTACTATAACTGTCATTACTATCGGCCACTAGTGTAACTTCTCAATGGGTTGGTGTTGGGACGGGGTTTCGCAGCCGGGTTGTTTTGTTACCAAGTTGCGCTGGCGGTTGGCGCTGGCGGTTGGCGGTTGGCGGCTGTAACGCAACACGGCAGGTAGCGAAAAACGAAATGAGATGCCTTAAAATTCCACCGTAATGACCTAAATAGCTTAATACACTGCTAAGTCCAACACATGCCGCCTTCAGTGTAGGATATCTGTACCAACGGGAGTAGCACCACTGCAATTGAGCGAGTTGTCAGGCAAGGCAATTGATGCTGGTCGTCTCCTAGTCCTGTTTCCTAACTTCCTTCGGGGTTATACCTACACCGCCTCTGCTATTCCCTATTTAACACCACCACATTGCCGCTGCCGCCAGTTCTACAACACCCCCTTTTTTTGCTCGAGTCGCTGCCACCGGATTCCCGCTCCTCAGCAACAGCTTAACGGAGGCTGTGAGTTTATAATCTTCGGGAGCGTTCTATCTTCTCTAAGCAGGCCATCTACGATAGATTGCCATTCTGCTTTTCCACATGAGTTAAAGCAAGTTTTGCAAGGATGTGTTAAAGCGAGATTTGTGTTGATATGAAATTGCCGAGCTTTTGAGCGAACAGTACTGATGCAAGTCCGCCGGAGGCGCCTGATATTCGGTTCGTTGGACTGCCAACCTCCAGCAACCACTGATGACCGATTGTGTCCATAATCGTCTAATCGTCCCCATAATAGTCTCCCTATCATATGGAATGCGAATAGCAATTAAGTACGCGGCTTATCCGATAAGGGATCCGATGAGGGATAAGAACAAAGAGGCCATTGCGATATAGTAAGTTCGCTCGCGAGGTAATCCCACACCAAAATAAATAGCAATTGGGAACAAGTTTGGAACCCTGTTGTCAAACTTACAAAATGTTCCGCGGAATGCAAATACCGACGATGGTTTAAGCTGTTTCACCTGCTGTTTAATGATGTGTGATGCCTAAGCTCGTGTCTGAGAGGAAAGGATTGGTTGAATATGGCTCCAATGTGGGCTCATTCACTTCTCTGCTCAAGTAGTATAATACAAAATTTCCTCATACTACGTCCTCGCGTATTGCTAGAGACTCCTTACAAACTAGTTTTGTGTTTCTACCATAGCGCCATAACACCAAGTCGACTGTCGGAAGCGGGCTTTAACGTCGTCTTCAGTGACTGGAACTCTTCCTCAACACCAAAGCTTCCGACGCATAGCTGTTCTCATGGGTTGAGCGGATATTTAGGTGGGACTGTGCGCTTGTTCCATGCCCCCTGGGCTCACCCGGCCGACGAGTGGGAGTCGCGGCGGATTAAGCAAGTTCAGCGCAGCCAAGCAGCGGCGTTGCAGAACATCCGTAACTGCTGTACATTTGAGGAGCTGCTGAAGGTCCTGCCGCCAAAGGTCAGCCACACCAGGCATCGGAGAAAGTTTGGGGGTCAACTCCTGGGGAAACCCCCACCAGGTACACACGCCACACTCCGCAGCCATTCTTGCCACATGATGTTGCCCAATAATATTACCACATTTTTTCTTAAAATGCTTGGGCTATTGTATACACGCCATGCAGTAACCTTCCTATCCTCCCTTGCGTATCATTACGCGTTTCCCTGCAGCTTCCTAGGTAAGCTGACTGTTGGAGATAAGAGTTGATAAACTGCCGCGGCGCACTCTGTGGGCGTTGTTGGCTCTCTAAACTGTCGCAGGGTAGTGCTCCCGAGCTGGTGATCCAGGCGGCCCTGCAGGCTACCCGCGTACTGGAATGGCCCCTGAGCGCATCCGATCGCCGGCTGCTGTACGACCTGCTGGAGCACCTCAGCCAGCAGTGCGCCATGTGAGTGGCTTAGCAAATGGTTGGGGAAAGGGCTAAGCAAGGGAGGGGAGTATTTATTGCATAGGACTGCGTATCAGACCGTACAAGCAGGGCATCGCGACGGACCGTTGAATGTGCACGGGAATAAAACCTATGCATTCTGCTGCTTGCATGCGCCCGTGTGTTCCGTGTGCTGGTCGTTGGTGCTCCACCATGCCGCAGCCCACTATCCCGCAGTGGTAAGACGGGCTGACGGGGTCACTGCCATCACCGCGCAACATGCACGGCACGGCGCTATTCGGGAGAGTGTGGGGGTGCTCTGGAAGCTTGCTTCCCACGACCTGCCCGTTGCTCTCTGGCAAACAGGCTGCGGTTGATACGGGTGTGTGCGCGTCAGAACCTCACTACCGGCACCGCATTCCCATCCTTAGGAATGTGGAGGAATACGACATATCTCAGCTGGCCACTTTCCTGGGTGTGTGTGCCCGGGCCCGGTACACCCCGGGGGAGCTACTGGTGCCTTTACAACACCGGCTGATGGCCGAAATACGTGAGCAGCGCCTGAAGGTGCGGCAGCCCGCGATTTTGGGACACCCCTTCCCTCCCAATAAAGTACTCAAGCAGTTATGGGTTGCATTGAAAAGCAGAAGCGGTATATAAAGGGAGCTGTGGGAGCATGTGGGAGCTAGCGACTAACGGACCAATGTGCAATGTGTTAATATCGTCACCTATGCCATGCATCGGGAAATGAGCAACTCACAAATCTGAATTTGTATGGCTTGGCCGGAGCTTTCTGGGGCCTTTCTTGAGGCAACTAGAAGCACGTAAGAAAGCGGCGGATGCATGAAGCCCACCTAATGCATTCTCCCTGCCTTGTTATCATGATTGCAGAACGCGGCCGCAGCGGTTAATGTGGCAGCGCTGGTGCGTCACCTCTCCCTGCTGCGGGCAGGTGGGAGGCAGCTGTGGAATGCGGCGGTCGCAGCTGCGGAGGCCAGTATGCGGCATGCCAGCACAGCCGACGTTGCACGGATGTTGGTGGCCTTTGGCCGGGTCAATGTGCTGAGCAAGTTGCTAGTTAACAGGGCCATGTCATCGGCCCTGCCCACGATGAAGCTGGCAGCCCCGCAGGTAAAATGGGGAACTGGGGACGGTAAGCAGGAGGGCAGCAGAGCCTGGGGTTCAGGGGAGAACAGGGACATGAGACTGGATAAGAGTTATGCATGCCCCCCAGTGCAGTTCATAGGAACACGAATTACCCTCACAAAGTTGGTTACCAGGCTCTGTGCACGCGGGCAGGCAATGCCCTAAACAGGTAGTAGCTTTTTGTACAATACCTGGCTGATTCTTTCCTGTTGCAACACATTGTACGTTGTCCGTGCTGCCCCGGGATGCCGGCCTCGAGTTCGTTTCCCTCCTCTCTCCCCTACCGTCTGGTAAGCCCCCACGCCCCACACCGTCTCACCGCTGCCTCACTCCGCTGCCCAGGACGTGGCCCTGCTCATGCGCTGTCTAGCTCGGGCCAGGTGCTCCCCATCCGCTGACCTCCTGGATCAGCTAGCTGTAAACCTCAGCCTCCGAGGACCCGACTACGATTTGATATCACTGGGGGAGCTGGCGAGTGCGTGCAGCGATATGGGCCTGGGTTCGCGCCACAAGAATTTATACGACTTGATGTCGCAACTGGGGGCCAAGGTGGGAGTATGGGAGAGGGGACTTGGGCGGTTAGGTGGGGCCGAGGCTGGAAGTTTGTGTAGTGGAATGACAGCTGTGGAGCGGCACGATAGCATGTAGCCGCGGTAAGGCTTCACATTGGATTGTCGGCTCCAGAGCAGGGGATTACATAAATTCGTGGGGAAGTATTGGCTGGACAGCGCAACTGTCCAACATAACGTGCAGCCCTGCTGAACCCCATCCTAGCACGCTTAGTGAGATTCCTCCTTGCTTGCATTAAATTAAGTTTCTTCTCTTCCAGGGTCCATGTTTACCCGCTGTGCCCCCACTGTGTGTTGCCCACTGCACTGCAGGCCATGCACCGGCAGACCGCCATGCTGGAGGCTTCTCTGCTACCTAGTGGCGTCGTGACAACAGCTGGCGTCCGCATCTTTGATAGCTTCAGCGGAGGGGGCGGCGGCGTGATGCGGGCCCCGCTGTCGCAGCCGGTTGGGCCCCAGACACTGTTAACGTTAGTGGCGAGCTTGAGCCGCGTGCAGCCACCATCACGTCATCAACCGACGCTGCTGCGAGCCGCCTCTGCGCTGCTGGTCGCCTGGGTGCGGCGGGCGGCGGCGCGGGTTGAAGATGTGGAGGGGGCCGACTTGGCGCGGTTGGACGAATTGGCGGTGGTACTTGGGGCGGCGGGGCTGGAGGAGGAACGGCGGGAGCTGTTACACTTGGTGGGTGCAGGGGCTGGGGTGGGCGGGAGGTGGCCTGCAGCTGGGGTTGAGAACTCCGGTCCCTTTGCAGCTCGGTGGGATCAGGACTGTTGCAAGGAGTCGGCATGGCAAGATACGAGGAACATCGAAAACAAGCCCTTTGAGTATGGTCATGGCGCAGGGCACCGGTGACGCAGGGCCATTTGAGCAGGTTGAGTGGTTCGGCAGTGCACCAGATGGAATGCACCAGGCGGACGAGCTACCTTACCTGCGTGGCTCTCGCGGTCAGGTCACCCAGGCGTTCAGCTTGGCTAAACCCAGGAGTGATGCCTGGAGGCCTTCACTCCAGGCCCTCTTGTTGACTGGGATTATGCATTTACGGGCTTCTACCTGGGCGCTGTGTCCGCACCTAGAGAGGAGGGTGTGGTGTTGGCTATCAAATATACCCCCATAAACTCCCCAGGCATGAAGCCTTCCTCTCGAGGAGGTCCCGATGCACAGCAGCACCTGACAGACTGGCACCCCGCCTCGTGATTGGCTGCTGTTTTCTGTTGGGTCCCTCGTCCCCGGGCACACATCATACTCTTTGCCCCGTGCTGTGCGTTCCGTTTCTTCCCTATACATTGGCCACAGGCTTCAGCTCTCGTACCCAAATCACCGAGTGGCGGTTCTGCAGAGGCTGGAAGCTGATGCGAAACAGTGCGGAGTCAGTCAACACATTGGCAGCATCGTTTCCCTCCCAGGGCGATAGGATAAGAAGCTGCCAACAGGTTTGGACCATCAGATGGATTTGGTATGACCTTCCCATGGCCTTGATCCTGAAGGGATATGAGGCGGGCGTGTTCACAAAGGGTTTCACGTGAGATAACCGTGGGGGCCATCGTGTCACGTATGTTTCGGTCTTCTTTCAGATCCAGTCACGAGCTATAGCCGTTGAGGAAGACACAGGGGGCGGGAATGATGCATTTGCGTGTGGACCTCATCACCTGCTGAGTGTTTACACGGCAGGCAGCTGCAGTGCAGCACATGTGCAGAGCAAGTGAGAGGGGGATGACATCAAAGACAGACATGTTCACCATAGATGTGTTTCGGTGCCGGCGGCGCAGGGGAGCCAAGTCTCGAATGACTCCCATGTGTGCAGCCATCATCAGCAGAGCAGGGCGGAGTAAAGAGTTTGACACAGGCGCGGCTAGCTCAATTCGTTCAAATACACAGGACTCCCAGTCCAGATAACTTGGAGACCACAACGGTTAGTCCTGGGCTTGCGTGTTGCAACAGCGTAACTGAACACAACTCCCTTGGCAAGTTTCTCTGTATGATTGCCGAGGATGTATTCTACCTGCGACGCTGAGCAACATCTGCAGCGGCCAAGGCATGGGATCCCCCGCAACCATTCAGTGGCGCACCTTACATGTCGTTCCGGGTCATGGACAGGCCGGAACAGACATGTCACAGCGCACACTTCGCATCATTGCTACTGCCCACTGTTAGGTTGTTGGCACGTGCCAACAGCCGTCGATAATTCCGTGCCAAGGCTAGGACACTACTTATTATGCGTGAACGGCGGGAAACTCCGTTGTGTTTGAGCAAAGGTAACATGAGTTAGGAACTGCACGAGCTTTGTCTGGGAGAACAAAACACAATCAGAGTCCAATGATCTACGGTCTAACGATTATCACCCCTCGATTGACAGTACCGTCATACGCACAGCCGACCACAGTCCAGTTTGCTATGTTGGCTGTGCACATTGCGGGAAAGCGTATTTTGCTGGACAGTCCAGAAATTCGCCACGGGACAGCATTGCAGACGCAAGTAAGACGCCCCCGCACGTGTGTGCAGAACCTGTAACTTGTAGTATGCAAGACAGTTCTGTCGTGGGTTAGTACAGAGATGTAGCTTTAGCGCACATACAGGGTAGGGTGAAGGCGGTCATCTTCTGCGTTATGTGACGAAAATCACACTTAGGGGAGGCCACTGCCTTGCGACCATCGTGGGCGGTGACCTACTCGCCATGTCCACTTGCAAAAAACCGTCGCGTGTGCAGCACAACATCGAAGGTGGCTGCCTCCAGCTGCTATCGCCATACATTAACTGATCCGTGGCCATGCCCACCAACGGCTAAGAAATCCAATTGAAATTTTATCCGGTCAGGGCTTAGTTCCTCCGTCCCGACAGCCCCGAACCCTTCACAATAGTCGTATGGTTGTAATAAGGAGGTCCAAGCTCAGATAAAGGTAATGCACGACTAAGAGAAGGTGTGCTGATGCAAGCTCCTAAATATCGGCATAGTGCCAAGAAATGATCATCAGTTTTACAACCTTTTAAATTTCCTGTCATGTGAGCGCTTGAGCGAAAGCGCGCGCTTTCCCTGTTTTTTTGGGGGTGGATGTACGGCCAGCCTCCTTCCTGGAGGCAGGGACTTCAAAGTCGGGGCCGCGCAGGATACTGTACTTCTCCACTTGTTCACTAGAGTTGCAAGTGGATATAGCAGGTTTTCTAGTATCTTTGGGCAATAAACGCCACTAGACCGCAGACCTTACACTTGATCTTGTTCCGCCACCCATGGCGTTGCCCGGACAAGTTACCCCGGAGGGCGTGCCCGCCTTTAAACTTGTCCTAGTTGGTGATGGTGGCACGGGTAAGACAACCTTCGTGAAGCGCCATGTTACCGGCGAGTTCGAGAAGAAGTATGAGCCTACGATTGGCGTGGAGGTCCGGCCACTGGACTTCTCCACCAATCGTGGCAAGATTCGCTTCTACTGCTGGGACACTGCTGGCCAAGAGAAGTTTGGCGGCCTTCGCGATGGGTATTACATTCACGGGCAGTGCGCAATTATCATGTTCGACGTCACGTCGCGCTTGACCTACAAGAACGTCCCAACCTGGCACCGTGATCTGTGCCGTGTCTGCGAGAACATTCCTATTGTTCTCTGCGGCAACAAGGTAACATACATTCGTAATATAGATTAGTTTAAGGTTGTGTTCTCACTGCCGCCATTTCGGCGGCAATTTGGCGCGTAGGTCGACGTGAAGAATCGCCAGGTGAAGCCCAAGCAGGTCACGTTCCATAGGAAGAAGAACCTTCAATATTACGAGATCTCGGCCAAGTCCAACTACAACTACGAGAAGCCATTCCTGTACCTGGCGCGCAAGCTGACCGGTGACCCCCACCTGAGTTTCGTGGAGGAGGTTGCGCTCCCTCCTCCAGAGGTGGCTATTGATCTCGCAGAGCAGCAGCGGAACGAAGCGGAGCTGGAGGCTGCGGCGCAAGCACCGTTGCCACAGGACGACGACGATGAGGTGGGGTGGGGTTAGGACGTGGGGCAGGACATCGCGTCCCTTTCCCTGTTAATTTTAGTCTCTTCTGGTCTTAGTACTAAACCCTTTAAGTAGTAAACCCGTACAGACCGGTGGGCGTCTTGTCTACATTTTGGGCTTGTGGGGACAGTTCGGTAGAGATATCCCCAACGTTTTCTAACCAGTTCCCTTGTTCCCTTGGATGCCATCGCAGCTGCTCGAATAATCAGCGTCTCTGGTCTGGCGCACTTCGCTTGGTTTGTGGCGGTTTAAATACATATGGGCAGGCTGCGTGGCAGGAGGTAGCGACGGCTACAATTGCGCAGCAATCGTGTTGCTAGCGGGTTAGGGGGATGCAGGCTGTTCGGATAGGAAGTAACGAACGACTGACGTGAGGTTAAGTAACCATAGGGGGAGTACTTTACGTGCGCGGTATAAGAGGTCAAGCTGTGCGTTGGGAACCTGGGAGTTCATGGGAATCAGGTGGAGGCAGTATCTAGTTGACTCAATGTTTGCTCTCAACGCGCAAGCTAAGCAATGAAATGCATTAGGCAATGACGTTTTATGGAGAATTGTCGTGTGGTACTTGCCGGCAAAGCTGTACACAACTGTATGCAAAGATGTCGAACATCTTGTGTAACAGGCGTCTGCCTCGACAATGTATGTGTAAGTGATGCACAAATAGTCATTCTACTACCATTCGAGTTGATGTTTAGTTATTGCACACATCATATCCGATATCACCGTGTCGAAAGAAGATGGCTACAGCACGTAACAGTTTTCGATCATCTTTGGTCCCATTAGTATGGTTCATAACGATGTGAACACGCGTAGAATATTGTGGAGCTCCAGTGACCCGAGGATTTAATCATGCCACGTCTACACATCTTCGCACAGCTTTTGCAGAAGGCGCGCATTTTCATTAAGCAACTTCTCAACTATGCTCCGACGATCCGCTACGGTGTCTGATACCGTACATACACCTGCCAGGGACTCAGGTTGGGCCCGAGCGATTGGCATAGTACCTTTCGCCGAGTACTCGCAAACCCGCGCCATCCGCTGCGAATTAACCAACTCTGCATGCACACGCGCCTGGATACATAGTTCCTCCGCTCGTTCCTCAGGAGTTCTGAAAGCCCAGTGTACGAACTCCAGTGCTGTTTCTACGTATAGCTCCACTCCGACAGGATTTGCAACGGCAACCACGACTGCTTTCCCGTCTGGCAGTAGCACTTTGCAGTGTGACTGTGACGCAGACATGTGAAGGATAGTGCGGTCCTTAAAACAAACCCGCACACGCCCATCTTCGTAAGCTGTGAACTGACCGTATCCCGGTACACCGCGTTCCTCGATGATGGTAGTGGACATCACGGCAAACAAATCGTCACCCGAGGCGTCGCAAGTAACTTTATCAGGCCCTATCACCGAGCTGTCTTTGAGTACTGCTGGCGCTCTTGCTGCTTTGGCCGCTGTCAAAGTGGTATTGTGTGCCCTGCGGTTGCGGGCACACACGTCACGACATCAGGCATCAATTGGCGATCCAGACAAAAACTGCCACGTCGACCATCGCCCTGTTCCACTGCCCCGGCGGAACCGAACACACCTGACTTTCAGCGCATGTGTGGCGAGGGCTCCGAGAGGATAACGATAAGTCTGATCCCGGCTCCACACTGCTTCAGGAACGGAGCTGGCCGCATACAGCTGCGACCCACTTTCCCCAGCGTCCTTGAAATGCTCCAGAAACCTGCCGCCACGTTTCGAAACCATGCACGACTCGTCGGCATGCACCCAAACCTCGACTTCGTTCTCCTCAGGCAAAAACTGATAAGTTGCGTGCGGCGTCCACTCGAACACAAGCACGTCGTCCGGCGGCATGAACGATAACGATGGGTCAACCCACCAGTTGTCCGTTCGTATCTGCTCGGTAAGGGTGCTGCGGACAGAATCGTCTGCACTCGGCAGTGCACTGCGGCGGTCTGCGGGTGCAGCCGAGCCGCTGGCGACGCCTTCGGCATCGGTGGAACAGAGTAAGGCCCTCTCGGATGGGTGGGCACCGGCATTTAGATCGCCCAGCCAGCCGGGATCCGGGGTCATTTGAGTAAGGCTGGTAGGTTGGCCTGAGCCTGGGAATGGAGAGGGGATTCTTCGCCGTAGCTGATCAGCGACGAACAAAGCGACGAGAACGGCGGGTCGCCAGCGCGGAGGATGGCTAGCCACGCTGAAGACTTGGGTCTGCCAGACATACTCGTACTGCCCCTCCTGAGGCCGCTCCGCCACAAGAAGTGGGTAGCAGACTGCAAAGCGCCGCTGATGCCTGTGCAAGACGATCTGTGCCACGCCATCCTCGCTGCTTAGAGCTACCTTGCCGTCTGGCTGTACCTGAGCTAGTCCCTCTGCAATTGCATGCGACGGGGTGGGCCATGTGGCGTCCCGAATGACATACCCCAGGGTGAACCCAGACCGCAGGACGCGCGCTAAAGGTTTACAGAAGCATGGCAAGTCCACGTGCATGTTACGGAACTCGAGGACCGCGGCCAGCAAGGGACAGTGTCGCGTAAGAGCGTATTCACTAACTTGGCGCATCAAGTGCCCGTCTTGCGTCCTGATGATGAAAGCGCTCCCAGTACTATTGGTAACGATAATGGTGTTGTCTGAGAATATGGCCTTCGCCCGCCCATCGTCCAACACGCATATCCTGCGGAGCTCCGGAAGACAGGGCGAAGGCATCTCTCAGACCAAAGCTAGCCACATGCAGTATTCATTACAAAAGGAGTTCATTAAATGCATCTCTTTTTCACTTATACCTTTTACCAACTTTCCCTAGGCAGCATGTTTGAATGGATTCTGGAACTCAAAGAGAAAAAATATTATGTTTTTGCGTTTCGATTTAGTTCTTTGAGGTCGAGACTTGAGATACAGTATTTTAATTGTACTCCTGGTGCGTTTCAGATTCATGTTTGCCTTGATTGCCAGCAGAGCTCCTGCATCGCGTTACGCGTTAATGCTTTGCATGCTGCAGGTTCAGTAAATCCTTAGATTGTATAGAATACAAGGTTGGCAAAGCGCTGGCCCGCTTTGAGCAAAGACTGTTAACGGAAGCCCATTCAGAAGCGGCTGACCACCGCCTCACCCGTCTAATATCTGTAGGTCATCAATCATGGCGGACAGTGGAGGAGACCTAGTTGCAAACTTCATGGCCATTACCGGAGCCGACGACGGGGTGGCCATCCAAATGCTTGAAGCAGCCAATTTTAACCTTGAGGATGCGGTTCAACTCTTCTTTGCTGCCGAGGGGAACGTGGGTGGGGATCAAGGCGCGGGCGCTGGAGGGGGAAGCGGCGGAGGTGACCAGCGCAATGCCGCCTCACCCGGCCTTGACAATACAGACCCAGATGGCGTGCGGGCTCCACTACCAACGAAGATTGAACGTCTCTACGGCGATGACTTCGACCCACGGCCCATGTACCAGTACCACGGCCTCAACGGCCGCCAGCAGCAGGCCGCACAAATAGATGTTTTCCGGGATTTCCGTGCCGAGACGACGGCTGCCGCATCTGCTGCACAGGGCTCCGGCACGGCCGCCGCTCCGGCCGCTGCAGCTGGTGGCAGCACGCAGGGTCTGTCGGGCCTGTTCAAGCTGCCGGCCGATTTGGTGTTCAGCGGGAACGCAGACCAAGCCCGGGAACTCGCCAAGGTGGAGCGCAAGTGGCTACTGCTCAACATCCAGTCGGCCACTGAGTTCGCGAGCCACCGGCTCAACCGGGACACCTGGTCGCATGAGGCGCTGAAGGAGGTGCTCAAGGGCATGTTCGTCTTCTACCAGGTAGGTGGTTGGGCGGTTGGGGGATGTGGCTGTTAGACAACTGGACAAAATAAAGAGTTAGACAGCTGGAAAGAATAAAGAGGGTTTGTGTGAGATGATTGCTGCAAGACGGGTGGATGCGAGGATGGGAATGTAGGAGATTGTGTGGATAATTGCGGGGGTGGGAGGATGCGGAGATGCGACCAATATTGTGGGCACAAGGGTCACGCTAAGGTACGCCTCAAAGTAGTGTATGGCGGGCATTCACTGCTGCCGAGGGGCGGAGAAGAGCCGCGAGCGACAGCTAGCCAAAGGGTTCCCCGTGGTCTTTTAACTTTGCTTTCTTTCACTTCCCTTCCTCACGCTGTGCCTGTCCTCTCCACCCCGCCCAGACTCACGAGACCAGCGCTGACGGCCGGGCACTGATCAAAGCGTACCGACTGGAATCACAGGGGGCGCCCTCCAGTGCCTGTCCCGCTATCCTGGTGGTGGACCCGCTGACGGGGGCACAGATGTGGCACCGAGCGGGTTTCATAGATGCGGAGAAGCTCATGGAGGAGCTGGTGCCGTTCATGGACCACGGTCCTATGGACGCGGGTACATATGCGCAGCGGGGAGGAGAGGACTGTGGGGGAAGTGGGTTTAGAAGCAAATCAGCAGGGGCATGGCGAGTTGGGAAGCAGCTGACAGATGACATAGCTACAATACGGGCGAGCGTGCCTCACCCACCCACAATTTGCCCACACATCCGGTGAGCTCTGGATGTCCGTACCTACACCCACACGTGTGGGGCCGCATGGCGCCGATCGGGAGTAAGACGTGAAGGCTGCGTCGCCGTTATTGAAAGGGGAGAAGGCAATACCCCGTCATGCCCTACCGCTCCTGGTTCCCCTTTTTTCTTTTTACCTCCGATCGTCTTACTTGCTTATGTTCTCGAACCCTTTCGACATTTCCCCCCGCTCAGGTGCCGCCAATCTGGCCCAGTCCAACATCAAACGCAAGGCTGGAACCGCAGCAGGAGGCGCTGATGCCGCGGCCTCTGCCAGTCGCCCCGGTGCCCCCATGACCGAAGATGAGGAGCTTGCTCTCGCAATTGCCATGTCTATGGAGCGAGGTGGAGTTGCGGGTAGGGACAGCCCCATGGCCGTCCGTGAAGATGGAGATCAAATGGCGGATGAGCTGGATGATCTGGATGAGGCGGCCATTTGGTCCCAGATCCAGGCGGCGGAGCGGGCGGCGGCGACAGCGGCGGCGGGGGGGACTGGAGCGGGGGCCACGGCCGCTGTGAAGGACAAAACACCCGAGGAGGTGGGATGGACTGGGTGGGGTAGACAGGGCAGGGGCTGGGGAGGACTGAAGGCCATAGATCTTCGGTCTTTGTTTGGTGTAGGTAAGGAGGGGGCGTCAGGGCCGGTGTTTGGGGTCCGGGAAGCAGGGTCCAGAGGCTGGGCAGATGGGAACATATCCCATATGTTTTGCCTGTCTTTTCAAAAGTGGGAATCGAGGCCGGGGGCCGGGAGAAGTGGGTGCTCGGTTCGTAGTGGCTTGGAGCCGCGGCATCAGCTGCGTGACCTTCCTCTCGGCCCCTTGGAACACTGAGGTCACTCTCTCACGGCAACTATACGTCCAAGCATGGTGGCGTGCGACCTAGCTGCAGGTTCCCATTGCTCCGATGACCCCCTGGGTGGGGCCGGGAGCATTAAGCACCCGCGGCACCCAGGCCTTTCCAAACAGACCTTTATCTCCATGCAAGTGCAAGGGCAACCGGTTGCAATCCGTATTTCCCCGCGTTTTCGTTTCTCCGTGCATCCTGCAGGTTGCTGCTGAGGCCCTTGCCCGTGTGCCGCCCGAGCCCCCGGCGGGTGACTCGGAGGCGTGCCGGGTGGCACTGCGCATGCCGGACGGCAGCCGTGTCACGCGCAGCTTCCGCCGCACAGATACTGTGAGGGCATTGTTCGACTTGTGCGTGGCACACGTGCCTGAGGCGGCAGCGGGCCGCAGGTGAGTATGCGTGGGTGCACGTGTGTATGGTCTGTGTAGGTTGTGTGGGGCTGGGAAAGCTGCGGGACGTGGACATAAGCAGTGGTACTGGTGGTGGTTTGGTTTGGATCTGCGGCTGGGGCCGGGGCGTTTCTAGGTGATTTCTCTGTGTGTTCTCCCGCTACATGCCGAGGGCCTTGGGTCCCATCAGCAATGGCCTTTGCCACAGCATCACACCGGGGCCCTGCCTGCCTGCTACCCTGACCGCCGGTGTCCTCCTTTCCCCGCTTCCGGTTGGGAGGGTTGGGAGGAGCACTTGCATGTCACCAGCGGCTTATTACCAGCTTATCACCCAGTTCTGTCCAGGTTCCCCAATTCCGCCGCCAGGCCGGCGAACCACTTTCTTCCAGCTTGCGTCACACATTTTCTCTACTCACGTAATGTTTTTGCTCTTCGCCGCCTTTACACCTACCGTTACATTACTCGGATGGTTTTCCTGCTCTCTTTCCGCACTTCGCTTAGTCTTGGCGGTTAGGTAGGTAGTTTTCCGCTATCGCCATCACAACATCATCGCGAGGACTTCTTCACAAGCGCCGACTGGTTAGTTATGCCCTCCTTACTTCTGGCGCATCAGACTTACCGTGGCATCACCTTCACTCGTTCGTGGTTCGTCTTCCCCCCTCTTCCGCCCTGCCCTCCCGTCCTTTGTGGTCCTCCTCGGCAGTCTGGTCATCACCCTTGCCGCTCCGCCCGGCCAACCGCCCTTGGACCCCGAGCAAACGATAGGCGCTGCGGGGGTGGCTGGGGCCATGTTGGCAGTCAAGCTCGGGGAGTGAAGGGTGAGTGGGCCCAGGGTAAGCGCGCAGGTGCCAGTTGGAGAGGCCTATGAAGCCAGGGACGATCCCAGCAGGTGGTAGGGCAGGGCAAGAGCAGGATGTTGGCGTCATGAAGCGGCCTTGGTCGGAGAAGTCGTGGAAGGAGCAGGGGTTGTGCGGTAGTGTAGAACCACATGAGGCAGCACCGAGGTTCACGGCAGCAGGGAAATGGTGCCTTAGATGCGGGACACCGACTGGGAATGGGCGCTGTCCTATCCCGGAGAGGGAGTCGGGTAACCTGTGATGTTAGTCGCGAAGAATGGGGTAATCTTTAGGGCAATAGTTGTATCGTTGACCGCGAAGAGGAGCGGGGTTGCTAGAGGTGGCCTTTGAAGGTGTAAAACGTCATGCATCCAGCTCGCGCAGGCAGGGCAGATGGCCTCGTTTGTCGCACGACGGGGGGGGCGTTCATGCAGGTAGGGAAACGAGATGTGTCATTCCTTGCACGGACAATTCTCTCACATCAAAATGCGCCGCTTTTTCTTCCGCTCATGTTTGCTCCGATGAGACATCGCGTGTGGATTATGCTGAGCATAGTACGTCCTCGGATCATGAACTGGGTTCATGAACCATGTACATGGCGATGACGGAACAGCAGCTCGTCTGGTGACAGGAGAACACGTGCATGCACGACATCATAGCCGTAAGAGGGAAGAGTGGACATGGTGTTCCGTTCCTTCAGGACAGCTTCATGTCGGCCCCCACGAACCCCAGGGGAGGAGCCACGTTCCGTCCACGTAAAAGCCCCCGCCGACGATGTTGTTTCGTTGGAAATTGCGTTGCAAGTTGGCTGGCTGATCGCCTCACCGTTTGGAACTGCCCTCACGTCGAGCTGCCTTTACAGAGAGGGGGCCTCTTTAGTTGTTGGGTTCTACGATGCTGACATCGAGGACATTTTTTGTTTGTCACGCACCGGAGCTCGCACCTCACTGCAGCGCGTCCTTGGACACGTTGGGCCGTATGCGGAAGTAGGGAAGTGGCCGTTGTTGAGTAAAGTTCGTGCGATGTGTGCGTTACGGGAGAGTTCAAGATGTGGGACGTACTGCAGTCATGATCCCATGAACCTGGACATGTGCATTCTTTTCTAATTGTTACTTCTGTTGGTACAGCGTCTTTTGCCATTGCGCGAGCCGGCAAGGATTCTTGGCGTGCACGTATGGAAGGGTTTCTGGGTACCGTCCTGGTACAAGTTGGTGCAAGTCGTGGGACACAAGATAGCTGCACCTGGCTGCAACAATTACGGCGGAAAATAATGGAAAAATGCAGGGCAGTGAAGATGTCCAAATCCCTTTCTGGTGTTCGTCCATGTGCAGGATGGCTGAGTGCTAGACTTAGGCCACGAAACTGTCACATCCCATAGATCAGGGAACTGCCTTCTAAGTTACCTCCAAACGGCATTTATATTTCATAATAAAGGATACAGGTGACGGATGCACCTCCTCGACAAGCTCATGTCTGAACGAGCAAAAATCCGTGCAGGACAGCTGCTTTCCGGAACCCACGATCTAGGCCAGGCTCTGACGATCAGGCGCCATAATGATAGAGTCGTATTAAGAGTTCAACGAGTTATGAGTTCCAATAAACGGAACGCAAACATGTGCACATATCGCGGACTCACCTAAGTCTACGTCTGGCAAACCCACACTGACAATTTTGCCCTGCGTACCATGGCGCAGCATCAAAATCCAAAAACTTTGATCAATCAGTTTTACCAACGCGCTAAGGCAGACCCGCCGCGCTACGAGGTTGAGCTCGCGCCCGTCGATGGCCAAGAAAACCGCTTCATATGCACGTTGATTTTGCCATCGGTTACAGCTGAGGGCGAAACGCTTCCTGAGCAGATATTTCAGGAGGAGGGTCGCTCCAAGAAGGCGGCGCAGGTGCGGGGGTTGCACTTGGACCTCCGAATGGACGGCGATTGTCGAGTCAGGAGCATTAGTTCCCCTTTTAATTGCTGATGGACCAGTAGCGTTAGAATGTTGATACGGGGCATATCACCACGTTATCTGTTTTGCGACGAATTATGCATCTGCCGCCCTTTCGGCTTTCCGTCGTCGCAACCCAGAGCATTGAAGCATGCCACGGGATGAGGCCTTCGGAATCTCTTTTCTGTCATTGAAGTATAATTCAAATATTTTTCTGTGCTGACCCCGCGACATCTTCAGGGCGAATCAGCCCTCTCAGTTGCGACCCCCGGGTCACCGAGCCTTCCTGACCGACTCACATGCAAACAAGTCGGGTATCGTACTAGTCCTGGCATTCCATCGGATCACACGTACACGGGTGTTTTCAGCATTACTCCCCGCCTTCTCCTCCTTATCATCATCATCACCTGTAAGATGGCTGTTCACTGCGCAAGATGACGTTTGTCGGTTGCTTGAGAAATTTCTCAGTCGGCATTGAGCCTCTTTATCCGTTGCACCTAGCGCACAATGCTGTAACTTCTCTTACACACACACACGCACACATTCAAACCGCGCTCCCGCAGGACGCGGCCGCTGCAACGGCATTTCAGTTCCTGTCAGAACAACCTGTGTACGGGAACTTGAAGCCGTACGAGGAGTCCCTCTTACGGACGCTGGCTACCAGGGTGCTGAGCCCGCAGGCGGGTCGGGGGGGGGGACCTGGAGGGGGAGGGGGAGGGGGAGCTCGGAAGGAAGCAATTGTAGTGCCCGCCTGTGTCTGTATGTCTGTAAGCACAGTCCGGTCATATACGGCAGAGGCAGGAAGAAGGGTCCTGACGTCTGGGCCCAGCAGTGGTGGGCGAAGCGCCCAGGGTAGGACGCTGAAGGGTCCAGGGGAGCTCCGCTCACCGCTCCCCTTTCCTCACCACCCCACTCACCCTCAGGGCCTGTTCCGGGACCCCGAGATGCACGGCGCAGCTGCCTCCGCGGTGGCCTACCTGGACGGGTACCTGCCCCTGGCGGCACTGCCACATAGCCGGATACTGAGGGGATGGGCCAAGGAGTATGGCAAGTCGTACGACCCGGATCTGGCGTCCGACCCTATGGCGCTGGTTGACGTTGTACGGCGGGAGCTGGCAGCACAAGCGGAGGTGGCGGTGCCGCCGAAGGCAGCAGCGGTGGAGGCGGCGGAGAGCGCAGCGGCGGAGGCGGCGCTGACGGCGGCGGGGCTCCATTGTGGGCCGCCTGGGGACCCGGCGGTGGAGGCGGCCAAGGTTGCCGCAGCTGGCGCTGCCGCGGGGGCGGCTGCAGCACTGGGTTGGAATCTGGGCCCCAGTGGGTTGTGTGTACGGCTACCGCGGGAGTCTGCTGAGTCCGCCCCTCCTGGAGTTATCTGGGAGGAAGTCGACCCGGCGATTGAGGCGGCGGGGGGGGTGGCCTCGCTGGTGGTTATTCCCGCGGACAGCAGGTCGGTCTGGGCGGGGTTGGATTGCGAAAAACACACACGCGGGTACGGTACTAGGCAACCCGGCAAAGTGTGTTGGGCAGTTCATAACATCTCTCGAGCCCCCCACCTGCCCGGATGCCCCCTCTTGCTTGGCTGGCGGGGTCGGGAGGGGGCTGTAGAGGCACAACCCCCCGCTGCGCACCTCCTGGCGGCACCAAGTGCCCCCCTCCGACCCCCCTGGCCCCCTCCGTACAGTCTGCCTCTGCGGGAGGAGTCCATTCCGGCTCGGGGCTGTCTGCTGGTCAGGGTGGCTGAGCTGCTGGCCTGCCCGTCACCCCACCACGTACTGCAGTGGGGCAGGGTGGGACATAAGGCCTCGGTTATTGCTGATCCACGGGTCGCGAGCGCCGCAGCCCTGGCGGCAGCAGCAGCGCCTAAGGCAGAGGAAAAAGGTACGAGCGGAAAGGGCCCCCCTCGGGGGGGGGGGCAGGGTAAGGGTCTGGAAGGCAGTAATGTTTTCCAGTAGCAGCATTCCTCTGGAGGCTTGATCCCGTACAAGGCCCCAGCTGGGGTGTTTCTTGTGGTCCGGGTCCGGGTCCTGGTCTTGTGTTCCGTCTGTGTTCGTATGTGCCTGCCCCTCAACCCTCACCCTCACCCTCACCCTCACCCTCA